GGCCAAAATGGCCGGGATATCCCACGCTATCCGCAGAGTCATCCTCCACATCAAAACAAACTCTCCATACATAGATAGGGTGCAAATACATTGACAGGGCTGCCACCTTATTTAGTGACTCTAAAACTGAAAACCCGGCATATCTGCTAATGTATTTGCTCCCTATCTTTGAATGGAAAGTTTGTCATGATGTAGACGTAGACTCTCAGGATAGCGTGGGATATCCCCTCCATTTTGGCCTCAACTTGAGAGTTTTTTTGAGCTTGGGAGTTGATTTCAGAGAAAACCAGTGGCACCATTGTGTTTCTCGCGAACTTTTACATAAGAATCAATTGTCTAATCGCAAATATCCCTCTTGCAACATCTCCATTGAACTATGCGGCTAAAACTGCAATAGCGGCCAAGGAAAACTGACAAAGCCAGCGTGAAGGCTACTTCAATATGAATCTCGCGTCGCGTTGCTAAGGCGCAACGATACAACTATTCGTACTCTTCGGAATGCGTGAGGTATCACGCCACAATTGAAGGCGCTTTCGAAACTGTCAACTTTCCTTAGCGTGGGATATCCCCTCCATTTTGGCCTCAACTTGAGAGTTTTTTTTGAGCTTGGAAGTTGATTTCAGAGAAAACCAGTGGCACCATCGTGTTTCTCGCGAACTTTTACTTGAGAATCAATAGTCAAATCACCAATTCCTCACACATGCAACATCTCCATTGAAATACAGACGCGTCCGCTAAATCGTCTTCAAAGACGGCGAGTATGCAACCCCACGGCGTAAGCGTTCGAATAGTTGCCGCCAGATTCAAAGACCACTTCGAGGAGCGTTGTTTTCGCTCTCTACCCTGAGCGCGGAGCGCCAAACAACATACTCGTTATTAGTTTTCCCATGCAGATCGGTGTTTTTAGGTATAAACCAGAGATTTTAGTCCCTTATTGCAAAATGCAGTCAATGTATTTATTAAGCTTGCTTCTTATTGGGGATGATCCTGCTTAGATCAGATCACCAAGAGAGGACGATTCGAAGAGTTAGTGCTGCGGAAATTGTACCAAAGTTGACTGTATTGAGTCGACCGTACGTGTCACAAATGTATGTTTTGATGGTTTAATTTTGAAAATCATTGATCAGCAATGTACGAGGGGATCCGTACAAAGGTTAAGTTTTCCCGTTCAATAAGGACGCTCGCATTTTGTAAAATTAATCCTCGCGATACCTTGAATATCTTTTTGAACGTACTTGAATTTTCAATTATTTGAATATCCTTGAGTTTTGGGAATGACCCAATTCCAAATTAGATTTCATCAGGGCTGCAGAATGTTCCCGAACCAGCGACCGATTGGTCGCTCGACCAATGTGTAGGCTGTGGAAAAATTGAAAAATTGTGTTGGCTTTTTTTTTGTTTTTTTTTTTGGTGTTTTTTTGTTGTTTTTTTTTGTTAATAATTTGTTGAATTCTGGAGAAAGTTATTGTAGAAGTATTGAATTATTGAGAAAATGACTGCGAAAACATCGAATTTGAAGAAAAATATTGCGACCGCATTGTATTTTAAAAAAATTACTGCGACCGCGTAATGTAATAGTGTGTAGGCTAAATCCCTGGTTGCTCAAAATTGTGTAGGCCAAGGAACTTTCTGCACCCCTGGATTTCACTTCACATTGAAGAACAATATATTATCCGGTTCAATCATACAGTTCTCAACCACGCAACGCTCAACCGCATACGTTGTTTCTGAAATGAACCAGACACAATAGTTTATTCCCTATCGCTTGAAATGTAGTCCTTATTGAAGTCCCTTAATTTGGCAGATTTTCCATGGTTCTTTCATTTACGGCCACTCTGAAATATCTGCCTCTTTCAATTTTGATGTAGGGGCTCCTCAAGGCCCTGGTGAAAATTGGCGATTAGAGCTGCGTTTCAAAATACCATAGGAATTCTTATAGCCGGCTAAAGAAGGTTACAGACAATCATATAACTGGCTGTAGAATGCGGAGAAAATCATACGGCCGGGCTGTACGAAGCGATAAAAAATTTTGCAGCCGGGCTATAGTTCCTATCGCCGGGCTTTACACTTTATCGCCTGGCTGTTGCTTTTTCGCCATCGATTATAAAAGGCTATAAGAAGTTGTGTATAAATTCGTGTGCTTTGGAAATCATTAAGTTTGATACGGAACCACCTTAATATTTACAAAACACACATTATATTTTCCTTTATTACATATTTTTTTCCATCAATTGAAATGGGAATAATCTATACAGGATGTGCAAACATTTCAAAATCATGAGTTGAATAACGCTGACTCCGCCAGATTAAATATTAGAGCCTAACACTAAGCGGAGCGGCGACGCACTGGCGCCTACAAACCTAACAGGAATACTTCACGCATTGCGCAACGCGTGAAGTATTCCTGTTAGGTTTGTAGGCGCCAATGCGTGTTTCGCGCTGGCTGCCCGCCTGCCACGGCGCTTGAAGCAACTATTTCACACCAGAGGTATTGCACAGTATCGTACGAAACTGAAGGCGCTCTAATATATTAGGAATGGCAGGCATCGATCCATCAAACGCACGGAGTTTTCCTCGCAAAATAAATCAAGATACTACGGCCCAAAAAGAGAGCAGTATTCCAAAAACTCACTAAGTCCTAGCATCCGTAATTAGTAACGCTTAGCATACACTTTATCGCCTGGCTGTTGCTTAATCGCCATCGGCTATAAAAGGCCATAAGAAATTGTGCAGCCGGCTATAGAAGCTATTGGAAATCTGACAGCCTGCTGTAGGTCTATGGTATTTTGGAACACAGATTCTACTGCCAACTTTTACCAGGGGGCTCCTCAGGTCACTGATAGCTCGGTCGTTGTGATAAGTATTGAATTTATTTTTAAAGAAAATGACTGTTTTTAATTTTTAGAAAATTAATGACCGCGTTTAATTTTAGAAAAGTACTGCAAACGCGCTGTTTTTTAGTTGAAAAGAACTTTTTGCACCCCTGATTCGGCCTCCTCAGAAACATGTAGCAGAGAGTAAAGTATTGGTAGAGGGGATTTCCATTATTAAAACGTTCTTTACGGCCTTTAAAAACATCCTCAAAAGTCCGAAAATGTTTTGATACGGTCAGGAAATTGGAACATGAAGTTATGGAAATCATAAGAAATTCTTCAAATTCTCTCAAATTACGCCTATCTCATAGCGCCGTTTTCCAAACCAAGATCCATCTCAATGTTGCAGAATTGACTCCAAGAAGTAATTTGTCTTACAAGTATTTGACTTCTCAGTTTATGTCTGCAATTTTGCCAATTTTTGCGTGAAATCGGAAGAAAAATAAGTAAATTTTCTCTCAAAAACGTCCAACAGTTTCCTATAGTAAAAGCACAATTTATTTTGGAGTAGAAATCATGTGGCATTGAAATGCAGTTATAATCTTCGGTCTGGAAAACGATCTTGCCGTACTCAGCAAGAATGCGTTAACTTAACCACAATATTTTCTCCACCTAAAAAGCACCTTAAAGCTCTATTACTATACTGCTTGATTATTTTCGCACATAATCATTTCAATATGAGTTTCTAACGATATGACCCAATCTTTTTGGAAATGTAGAGGATATAAGTTCCTCGGTCATTTTTCTAGCGAACGCGCTCATACAGAAAAAAATTGAAAGATTTACAAAGTATGGAGTTACGATGTTCGTACTGTGGAGAGCAAGCTATTGTCGTGCTAAGTAAAAACGCCGTAAAAGCCATCAGGCGTTGCCAAATTTACATCGACAAATCACAAATTTTCAGGAAAATTCGTAAATATTTCTGCTCCGATTTTAAAGAGGATTTCGTTCGTAATTTGATCTAAAAAGTCTGAAAATTTCAAGGAATAATTTCCATAACTTTCTTAAAAAATGAATATTTTCGAAAAAGAAATTCGGCAACATTTGAATGCTCATACGGCGTTTTTATTTAGTACGAGAGCATAGGTATAGGTAAAACTGTAAAACGAGGGGCTTGGAGGACAAGGCGCACACGTGCAGATTTTGAAAAAAATTGAGATATTCGCATGAACTTAACTAAAACTAGTTTGAAATTATATTCTGTGAAAAATTCACGACTAAAATCCAACTTTGAAGCATCAAAAAGTGATTTTAAATTTCCTTTCTGCCATAAGGCTCCAAGCGGTGATTCGATGGACGCCACATTTTGTGTCAGAACGGCATGCTATATATCGCAACAATTGGTTCCATTTTTTCAGCTACTCGTCATTTTTCTCGAATTTTGAGATCGTAATTCTGTTGTCAGGAGACTAAAGCACTCACTTACCAATTTTAATAGAGAAATTCAACGTAATAAAGGCGTGGTATTTTTAGAGAGAAAACATAGCATTCGATAGTGATATCGAAACTGCACTCGAATGCCATATTTTCTCTCTAAAAAAACCACGCCTTTATTACGGCAAATTTCCTTGTTTAAAATTGGTAAGTGACGCTTTAGTCTCCTGACCACAGGATTGCGATCGCAAAATTGGAGAAAAATGACCAATGGATGAAAAAATGGAACCAATTGATGCGATGTATAGTATGCCGTTCTGACACAAAATATGGCGTCCATCGAATCACACTGGAAAAAAAACACACATTGGATTTAGAGTCCAGACTCTTGAAAACATTGACAAGAAAAAGGACTCTTGATTCAATCAGATTTAAGCTTAAATCAAAAGGAAAGCCGCTCAAATTAAGAGGCTTGGTTCTTGATTTAAGCTTAAATCTGATTGAATCAAGTTTCTTGTCGATGTTTTTAAGAGTCTGGACTCCACATCCAATGTGTTTTTTTTTTTTTTACAGTGCACCTTAAGCACGTATTTCTTGAAATAGCAAAAATTGCGCTCATGTGCCTTGTCCTCCAAACCCCTCAAATGTAGATTTTTCATTGCATGTGCCTTTTTATGATCGGAGGCTGAGAGCCTGCGGGCTGGAGGCAGGTGAAGTGTAGTTGACTAAATGTTTGTATGATCATCTGTTTAGTCTTACTAATGATGCCAACTCTTCACCAGTTCTCTATGGGGTCAGCGTGGAACATTCCAAGAAGGAGGTCGTCTACGAACCGGACTCGATCCGCCCGACAGTCGAGGAGGGTAGCCAGGTGACGCTGGCCCTCTACGGCGACAATTTTCATCCGAATATTGACGTCGGTCTCAACGCTAACAGCGAAAAATGCAATTTCCTTTCCGATGGTCTCAAAAGGAAGGCAAGTATACTGTTCAATTTGTTTCAATACGAATGCAAGCTTTCTATTTGGCTCATCGTTTTTACTTTATTTTGATCGATGATGGCAGCGTCAATCTCAAACTGATCATGAAATCGCTCATTATGATTAGTAACACCATTTGAAATATGATTAATGTAAGAAGCGATTAGCCAAGGTGTTATGTGTTTTCACTGCTTTATTTATTTAATAAATAAATAAATCAAATTTAAATTTTCAATTTTTTTTATTAAATAAATAAATCAGTGAAAACACATAACACCTTGGCTAATCTTTTCTTACATTCATCATATTTCAAACTGATTGATACCTTGGAGTCAGTCTGATGTTAGACTCATGCTCGATTTGTCCGATTGATCATGATTTGCACACTGACTTAACACTAACGTCATTATAACGTCATACTGACATCAGTATGAAGCCGCCAGATTGACATCAGTCAGTATAGTTCCCAACCCACGTTCTAACTGGAGCTTTCAAACTGGCACTAATTTTTCAATTTCTCAGCCATTTCTGCACGAAATTCGTTAAAAATTTCAAGATCTGATCTGTGATGTGTCCCAAACGCACCGTTCATTTCAAAGATCTTCAGGCCGACGCAAACATATTTTTAGCTATGGTAATAAAGAATCGATTATTACACGGAGAAGAAAACTTCGTGCGTGGGACCCGAAGTTGCGGTCATATGGATCTCTGAGGTTTTCGGATCACGTATCTAAAAACTTGAGGTTCAGCTGCCGAAGTTCGGGTCAGACATCTGAAGTACTTCGATATATACCGGAGGGTTCGGGTCAAACATTTGAAGTACTCCGGTACATACCCAAGTGCCTCGATGTCTGACCCGAACTTCGGCAGCTCGGCCTCAAGTTTTTGGATGCGCGATCAGAAAACTTCAGAGATCCACACGGAGAAAAAAACTTCGTGCAAGGGGACCCGAAGTTTAGGAAGTTTTCGGATCACGTACCTAAAAACTTGAGGTTCAGCTGCCGAAGTTCGGGTCAGACATCTGAAGTAATTCGATATATACCGAAGGGTTCGGGTCACACATCTGAAGTACTCCGACACATACCGAAATGCCTCGATGTCTGACCCGAACTTCGGCAGCTTGACCTAAAGTGTTCAGATGCTCAATCCGAAAACTTCAGAGATCCGTATGACCTAAACTTCGGGTCCCACGCACGAAGTTTTTTCTCCGTGTTCTTGGGGGAAACTTGCCGGAATTTTCGAATTTGACCGAAGGTATTATCCTCGAAATTTGCAGGTGGTCCGGAAGTCGGAGCACATCCTGGAGGTGAGCCTGGAGCTGCCTCACAACGCGAACAAGCAGTACTTCTTCTGCCTGACCCGGGCCGACGAGAACAAGACGTGGGTCCTCGGTAGCAACGAGACGTTGGCCAGCCTCGCCGTCCGGCACACGTCCTTCTTCGAGCTCCCCCTCTGGGCGACCATCGCCACGCTCATCTTCTGCGTCATCGTCTCCTGCATCCTCTCCGGTCTCAACCTCGGACTCATGACCCTCGACCGCACCGATCTCCTCGTGCTCCAGAATGCCGGCACCGACATGGAGAAGAGATACGCCAAGAAGATCATGCCCGTCCGGGAGAAAGGTCAGTTCTCTCTTCTACGCTTCTTTTCGCTCGGGGCAGGGGGGTTTCTTTAGGGTTTTTGCGGGAAAATTTCGCGCATAATGGAACCTGAAGTTCAGATCATATAGTAACCTTCCAGCCTAAGTATCACAAGCGCCATGCTACGCACAGTAGATCGAGTCAGTGGGAAAAGTCGGACGAAATTTGGAAACTTTAAAACATGGTGTCTAGTTTTTTAAAAACTTGGAAAACCTGGGATTCATCAGGGAATGAAAATTTACCGGGAAAATCAGGGAAAAATCAGGGAATCTGTTCCAGAAACCGGTAATCTCTTCTGCAACCACCAAAGGATCATTTCGTTTTCAAATTTGGCGGTCTAATCTGACGTGCCCCAAAGAAATGGCTGTAAGATTCATTAAAATCGATATTCATATCTAAAACTCTGGAAAATTATATTCTTATCCCTAAGAAAATCCCGGGGAAGTGGGAGAAACCTTCGGTTGCTCATCAGGGAATGAGCTCCTGAAAATCGAGGAAAATCGAGGAAAAATCAGGGAATGAGCTTTGCCAAGAAAACTAGACACCATGCTTTAAAAGCTTATAACTTCGCTCATACAAAACTTTGAGGGTTTAAAAGTGGTTTCATTGGTCCCTTCTTAAAATATTCTGCAGGAAACACCCCTTGAAACTTAAAGTGTGACGAAGTAAACATCAAAATTTGCCGTTTTAGCCAGAAATTTCATGTCCGACCTCTCTAACTCGATCCACCGTCCGACGTTTTTAACATTTTCGCCGCCATTTTATTTTTTCACAGAGAAATTGTGCGACGAAGCTGTCCAAAAATTTCACCGAATTTTCTCTGTGCTGTCGATAAAATTCAATGAAAGTTTCAAACAGATTCAACCAAAAATTCCTCTGTAAAATAATAAAATGACGTTGGACATTTTGAAACGTCGTATGGCGCTTGTTATACTTTGGCCGGATGGTGACTATATGGATGTCAGAAGTTTGCGGATCGTGCATCTGAAAACTTGAGGTCCCAGGGTGTCTGCCAGTACGGAATTTCCGGGAAGACCGGAAATAGTACTGATTTTTTAAGAGCGGTCCGAAGTACTGAAAAATTGGGCAAATTCCGCGAGAAGGTCCTGAATTTTTTGCTTCGTGCCACGGTTGTTTTTTAAAACAGCCTGGAAAATATGCAGTTCGTTACGTAATGGTTCTCACTCAGTGCACTATTTTCCCGGTAGGTCGTGATTGTGAAGCTAATTGATCCTCAGGCCACTGATGAGCTTAAATCTCGTGGCTACGTCATTGAGCCTCTCGAGATTTGTGCGTGAATTTCGACAATTTTTGAGTTCCGCCACTTAAAGGTACCAAAGAATTACTGAATTCTTCTGCTTATGAGGTAATGAATTTTTTGGAAAGGTACTAAAAATATACCGTAAAAGTACTTTTTATTTTCCAGCCAGTTTTAATAGACACCCATTCATGCGACACAAGAAACAAGATAAGGAAAGTTGGCAGTTTCGAAAACGCCTTCAATTGTGGCGTGATACCTCACGCATTCCGAAGAGAACGAATAGTTGTATCTCTGCGCCTTAGCAACGCGACGCGAGATTAATATTGAAGTAGCCTTCACGCTGACCTTGTCGGTTTTCCTTTGCCACTATTGCAGTTTTGACCGCATAGTTCAATTGTGCTCAAGCTAGGGTTGTATTTAGCAAATGTATAATTTTTATTTATAAGAATTAAATCTGAACAAGCGGTAAGAAATATAACTAAATATTAGGAATTCAAATTGGACTGCATTTTGCAATTAGGAACTATAAATTCCGGTCCGGTTTCAAAAAACCTATGTGCCATTAGTTTTTCTATGCACATAAGTGTTTTGTCAGATGAGCCAGAATTTATATTTCCAAATTGAAAAGTGCAGTCCAATTAACGATGGATCAGCTCAAAAGTACCAATAAAAAATACTAAACTTTTCCGCTTAGGAGGTACTGCATTTTTTGGAAAGGCACTGATAAAGTACTGTAAAATTACTCAACGTTTGTCAGCCAATTTTAGTAGACACCCTGAATTAGAAATTACAAATTCTGGCTCATGTAAAAACACTCATGTGCATAGGGAAACTAATGGCACATTCGTTGTTTATAAATTGACAATGAGCCAACAATTGTAGTTCCTAATTGCAAAATTTAGTCGGGTGATTCTAGCCACCACGCTTTTTTTCACAATGCCATCCAGTTTTCTCTCGTCAGTACGCCGAATGACCTAGTTCGGCCAAAAAGTCTGCGATACCAAACTCACAAACAGATCGCGTTAAGCAGGAAGGAACCAAGCTGCATCAGCTATTGCCAAATCTAATTGAGAAATACAATTTTTGACTTGAAAACGGTTGTGTGGATTTGTGTGTAAATTTCAGTGAATTTTCTGCATAGTACGAGGCAAATTTCTTAACATTTTCATAAGAATCGGCACAAACTTTATCTTGTAGAAAATTAAATTGCCCTGTTAAATTTGGAAATAGCTGATGTGGCTCGGTTCCTTTCTGCTCTACGCGGTCCCAATAATTTGAGAGGATGAGTTGAAGCTGGAGCGGAAGCTCATGACGCAGAGTGGATCGAGTCCATTAGAGAGGTCGGACATGAAATTTTTGACTAAAACTGGAAATTTTGATGTTTATGTCGTCACATTTTAAATTGCAATGGGTGCATTTTGAAGAAAAATTCACGAGGAAACCATTGGAATCACTTTTGGAACCTCTAAGTTTTGTATAAAAGAACAACTTAATTTGGGGGAAAGGCTGCAAATAAAGAAAAAGGAATAAACAAAACCCGGAACGTTTCAAAATAATTACAATTTCATTTTCAACCGGAAAATAAATTACAAACAAAAACGAGCCGTCGCTACGCTCTTATTGCGAGACCGAGACTCCAAATTGGACGTATTTCTACCAAACAGACCTATGTGGAGGTGAGAAATATGGGGTGTGCTCGTCGAAAACTGCATAAGAAGCAATGTTGAAGTGGGCGTGATTCCTTTTGAAGAATTGGAAAAGCGGGATTTTACATTCTATCAAACAGACCTATGTGCCAACTGAGTGCGGGATTCATGAGCCGCGGGTATGGCAAGAGAGCGTTGTGGACAGGGCTCATGAGTAAGAGTCCCGCCAACGACCCTCCCGTCGTTCCAGAGCTCGTTTGTTGCCGCTGACGTCACTGGCGCTTTATTATTCTCATTCACTCTCACGGCCAGAGACCTAACGAGCACACCCCATATTTCTCACCTGCACATAGGTCTGTTTGGTAGAAATACGTCCAATTAACTCCTCGTTTTGTATAAATGGAGTGATGAGCGTCTAAAGTTTCCAGATTTTGTCCGAACTCTCCTATTTTTTCGAGTTCACCATGTGACGGTCTTGGGATTTTTTATTTTCAGGTAACTTCCTGCTGTGCTCGATCCTGTTCGCTTTGACGTGCGTCAACTCGGTGTTCACGGTGGTGCTGGACTCCCTGTTCGTGGGCTGGGTGGCGGTCATCATCTCGACGTTCGTGATCGTGCTCTTCTGCGAGATCCTCCCGCAGGCCATCTGCGCCCGCCACGGCCTCAAGATCGGCTACTCCACCATCTACCTCACCATCTTCACCATGGGCCTCACCTCCCCCCTCTCCTGGCCCATCGGCAGGATCCTCGACATCGTCCTCGGCAAGGAGATCGGCAGCAACGTCTCCAGCAGGGAGCGGCTCAAGGAACTCATCCGCGTAAGTTCTCGCAAAGCCAGTTTTCCCGTCTAGCCGGTCCCATAGCTTCAGGGTTGCCAGGATCAGGGAAAACCGGGAAATGTCAGGGAATTTTATAAAGTCAGGGAAAATCGGAAATTTTAAAAAGTCAGGGAAAACGGGGAAATGTCAGGGAATTTTAGAAAGTCAGGGAAAATCGGAATTTTCAAAAAGTCAGGGAAAACCGGGAAATGTCAGGGAATTTTATAAAGTCAGGGAAAATCGGAAATTTTCAAAAAGTCAGGGAAAACCGGGAAATGTCAGGGAATTTTAGAAAGTCAGGGAAAATCGGAAATTTTAAAAAGTCAGGGAAAACCGGGAAATGTCAGGGAATTTTCAAAAGTCAGGGAAAATCGGGAAATGTCAGGGGATTTTCAAAAGTCAGGGAAAACCGGGAAATGTCAGGGAATTTTCAAAAGTCAGGGAAAATCGGGAAATGTCAGGGAATTCTTAAAAGTCAGGGAAAACCGGGGAATGTCAGGGAATTTTCAAAAGTCAGGGAAAACCGGGAAATGTCAGGGAATTTTATAAAGTCAGGGAAAATCGGAAATTTTAAAAAGTCAGGGAAAACCGGGAAATGTCAGGGAATTTTAGAAAGTCAGGGAAAATCGGAAATTTTAAAAAGTCAGGGAAAACCGGGAAATGTCAGGGAATTTTATAAAGTCAGGGAAAATCGGAAATTTTAAAAAGTCAGGGAAAACCGGGAAATGTCAGGGAATATTAAAAAGTCGGGGAAAACGGGGAAATGCCAGGGAATATTAAAAAGTTAGGGAAAACCGGGAAATGTCAGAAAAAATGACGGAAATGTCAGGGAAAAATAATCAAGTCACCCTTATTTGCTTCTTAGAATGGCTTTGACGTTTCGAACGACAAATTTCGCCTGAAAAGTATTTCTAATAATGTCTTTACCATCTAGTATATCTTTAATTGTCAGGGAAAAAACCGGGAATTGTCAGGGAAAATGACGGAAATGTCAGGAAGAAATAATCAAGTCACCCTTATTTGCTCTTTAGAATGGTTTTGACGTTTCGAACGACAAATTTTGCCTGAAAACTATTTCTAACTAAGTCTTTTTACCATCTAGTATATCTTCTATTGTCAGGGAATTTTATCAAAATGTGTCAGGGGAAGCAGGGAAATGTCAGGGAATTTCATTTTCTAGATTCTGTGGCAACCCTGTCGTTTTAGATCCGATGAATTGCTGACATCAGAGGAGGGTCCGGCTATATGGCAACACCGGAATCCCTCCATTTAAACCAACGTTAAATAATCGATTCCTATCGGAGCACCTGGCCCCTCCAAGAATCAATACATCTCCATTGGTTTAAATAGAGAAAAACAGTAAAAAATATTTTACACGGCGGGTAACAAGGCTAATTTTCACGAATATAACCGAAACGTTTCGGCTGAAAACTCGGCCTTCCTCATTCGAATAAAACAGTAAAAAAAATTGTATTTATCTAAGAACATAGTACTTCGCTGTACCTTTCAAAGCGAGAACAATGTTGTTATGAAAGAAATTTTGATAACCTTTTTCCTTTAACCTTTTTTTGACCTGTTTTGGTTTTCAAAATTTCTTTCATAATAATATTGTTCTCACTTTGAAAGGTACAGCCAAATACTACGTTTTTAGATTTTTACAATTTTTTTTACTGTATTATCCAGCTCTAAACTCGATCTTGTGATTGAAGCTACTGACCCATTTATGCTAGATTACTTTTAGATAATTCGTCTTTTAGATGTATCGTCATTCTGCGTTGTTTTCTTTTTCAGGTGACTTCGGAATTCACGAAAATAGAAAAGGAAGAAATTAATATTATTCACGGCGCGTTAGAATTCGGCAACAAGAAAGTAGAAGATATCATGACTTATTTAGATGACGTATATATGATGTCCGCTGAGACTCTTCTGGACTACCAAACTATCTCAGGGATTGTTAGATCAGGTAATTACAGTTTTTGCATTTTTTTTCTTAAGTCTCTAAAGTACCAAGTTTTCTTATCAGGGCGTCCCCTAATAGCACTGCCGTGCTGAGGAAGGACGCCGTATGAACATTCGAGAGTTGTCAAATTTCCCTCGTTAAAATGTTCATTTCTCAAAAAAGTCATGAATATTCTTCCTTGAAATTTTCAGGAACTTTCGGCAAAATTGCGAACGACTCCGATTGACTCGATCCACTGTGCGTCGCGAGAATCGGTCCAGTGAGTTTGTGCGTTCAGTTCGCCTTCAATTTCGAGTGATACTGTGCCACACTCGGGTGTTCGAATAGTTGCTTCGCGCTCATGCACGCTGAGTATACTGCCGTGCTAAGGAAGAACGCCGTATGAACATTCGAGAGTTGTCAAATTTCCTTCGTTAAAATGTTCATTTCTGAAAAAAGGCATGAATATTCTTCCTTGAAATTTTCAGGAACTTTCGGCAAAATTGCGAACGACTCCGATTGACTCGATCCACTATGCGTCGCGAGAATCGGTCCAGTGGGTTTGTGCGTTCAGTTCGCCTTCAATTTCGAGTGATACTGTGCTACACTCGGGTGTTCGAATAGTTGCTTCGCGCTCATGCACGCTGAGTATACTGCCGTGCTAAGGAAGAACGCCGTATGAACATTCGAGAGTTGTCAAATTTCCCTCGTTTAAATGTTTATTTCTGAAAAAAGTCATGAATATTCTTCCTTGAAATTTTCAGGAACTTTCAGCAAAATTGCGAACAAAGTTATCTGAAAGATTGAAAGAGAAATATTCATATGTTTTTTAAGAAATTCGTGTTTTATCAAAGGATATTTGGCAACGCTTGAAGGTCCATGCGACGTTTTTCCTTGGTACAGCAGCGTACTGCCTTGATAGCAAAGAGAGCAGCAACGGTCAAATTTTCGAAATTGAGTTTCCCGCAATATTCTTCCGATCTTTTTTATATGATACCACTGATATAGGCAAAACAGCAAAATTCATCCTATTTTTATTGAAACGAGACTTGTGAGAAAACCGTAAGTAAATTAGAAATGATGTGGTTTCAGGCAAAACAGCACTAAGTGACATTATTTCGCCAGAGAGCCAATGAAAGCAGTGCCCCAGATAAAACGTTTATTTTCGAACAAAATGGACCACTTGACAAGGCACGAATTTCAGCCTTCTGATACATGTTTCGTAACTAAAATTTCATGTAGAACACGATGCGCACAACGAAAATTACCGAAATCAACTCCTTACGAAGATATTTAATGATTCTTGATGCGTGAATTCAAACCACCCGCTCATGAAAACTCAATGCTCTACGTGATTCACATCGTGCGCTAAACGTTATCATGACAGTCTCTGCGATATAAAAATCTGGCAACCTCAATCTTGACGCTCAGCTACAGCAAATTGCTGATAGTTTGAACAACATATGGTGGGAAATAAACATTGCTCGATCGAAAAGTTTGCTGAAACCGTTGTAGTGCGCGATTTGACTCACGTAGAGCTTTGAGTTTCTTGTGAGCGGGCAGTTCAAATTTCTCGTAACCAATGTGAAATAAAAACGTTAATATCTTCGTTGGGAGTTGGTTTCAGTAATTTTCGTTGTGTGAATCGTGTTCTACGTGAAGTTCTAGTTAAGAAACATGTATCAGATCGCTTAAATTCGTACCTTGTCTAGTGGTCCATTTTGCATTTTTCCCCTTGAAATTTTCAAGCGTTCTAGTTAAAATTGCGAACAAAATTGTCTGAAAAAAATCGAAGAAAACTAACTACAATCATTCTAGTAAATTGGGTTTTTATTGAAGAAAATATGGCAACGTCTGAAGGCTCATACGCCGTTCTTCCCCATATAGTACGGCAGTGTGCATCTCCCGCAGCAGCAGCCCGCCCTCGCTAATTGATAAGGATAGCTTAGCGTGCGCTAGCCGTTGGGCCGTTGGGCGAAACGGAATGGTGACCTAATCAAGCAAAGTGTTTCAAAGTCAAGAAAGACGCAAGATGAACGACGGGGCGAGGAAATTAAAATGCGCCGCGCGAGGGGCGTCGGGGGGGGGGGGGGGGGGCGAACCAGTGGAAACTAGTAAAGAGTGCATTAAACTTTCATCGACCTTTCACTAATCACTATCATCGGGTTTTGTTTCGACTCGACGCACAGTGGATCGCACTGAAAAAAAAATTCTCGGCGTTTTTACCATAATTCCGTTGGTACCTTTACCATCTCACTTTTTTTTACCAATTTTTGGAAATTTTACCAAAACAGACTGGTAAGCTTACCTAAAAACCGGTATTTTTACTGTTTTTTCAGGTGAGAATACCACTTTTATTGGTAATCAATTCCCGATAACTTTGCCATTTCATCTCGGTAATTTTACCACAGTCGATAAAAAATATTGGCATTTTTACCAAGGTCCAGTAAAATTACCGAGAAAGTTCAACAATTTTACCGAGATTTCTCGGTAAAATTACCAATTCCATAAATGGTAATTTTACCGAGAAAAAACTGGGATCAAATGGAACCCTGAACTCTTGGTAATTTTACCCTTTTCTTAGTAAATACACCGAGATTTTTTTTCAGTGCGAGTCAATAGGAGAGGTCGAACAAAATTTAAAAACTTCAAACGCTTATATTGCCGTGCTAAGGAAAAACGCTGTATGAACATTCGAGCGTTGCCAAATTTCCTTCGATAAAATGTTCATTTTTGAGGAAAGTTAGGAATATTTTACCTTCGAATTTTCAGAATCTTCGGGTGAAATTGCGAACGAAATTATCCGATAAATCGGGAGGAAAATATTCATAAGTTTACCGGGAAATTCGCGTTTTATCAAAGGAAATTTTTCAACGCCTGAAGGTTCATACGGCGTTTTTCCTCAGCACGGCAGCATAACTCTGTTCATACTAAACTTTGAGGTTCTAAAATCGGTTCTATTGGTTTCCTCGTGAAATTTTCTTCAAGAAGCACTCCTTAAAGTTTAAAATGTGACGTTAATAACACAAAAATTTGCAGTTTTCGTCAAAAATTTTATGTTCGACTTCTCTGATTGACTGGATCCACTGTGCGACGCCACGGACGCGACGACCATCCATCTTCGAGCGACGTCGACGGGGGTGTTATGGCAGATTGTTAACATTTAGTGCTCCACTTCCTCCCGCGCCGGGCATCAGAGCCTCCCCATTCGCGAAGCTGTACAGGGTGTCCCGAAAATAAAAACCCAGGGGTGCAGAAAATGCTCGATCGCGCGCAAAGTCCGCCACTTAAAGGTACCAAAGAATTACTGAATGGACCACTAGACAAGGTACGAATTTCAGCATTCTGATACATGTTTCGTAACCAAAATTTCACGTAAAACACGATGCGCACAACAAAAATTACCGCAATCAACTCCTTCCGAAGATATTTAATGATTCTTGATGCGTGAATTCAAACCACCCGCTCATGAAAACTCAATGCTCTACGTGATTCACATCGCGCGCTAAACGTTATCATGACAGTATCTGCGATATAAAAATCTGGCAACATCAATCTTGACGCTTTGGCTCAGCTATAGCAAATGGCTAATAGTTTGAACAACATACATGGTGGGAAATGGACATTGTTCGATTGAGAAGCTTGCTGCAACCGTTGTAGTGCTCGATTTGACTCACGTAGAGCTTTGAGTTTCTTGTGAGCTGGCAGTTCAAATTCCTCGTAACCAATGTGAAATAAAAACGTTAATATCTTTGTTAGGAGTTAGTTTTAGTAATTTTCGTTGTGTGAATCGTGTTCTACGTGAAATTCTGGTTAAGAAACATGTATCAGATTGCTTAAATTCGTATCTTGTCTAGTGGTCCATTCTTCTGCTTAAGTATGAGGTAATGAATTGTTTGGAAAGGTACTGAAAATATACCGTAAAAGTACTTTTTATTTTCCAGCCAGTTTTAATAGACACCCATTCATGCGACACAAGAAACCCGATAAGGAAAGTTGGCAGTTTCGAAAACGCCTTCAATTGTGGCGTGATACCTCACGCATTCCGAAGAGTACGAATAGTTGTATCTCTGTGCCTTAGCAATCCAGCGCGAGATTCATATTGAAGTAGCCTTCACGCTGGCCTTATCGGTTTTCCTTTGCCGCTATTGCAGTTTTAACCGCATAGTTCAATGGAGCTGTTGCATGAGTGAGGAATTTGCGATTTGACTATTGATTCTTATGTAAAAGTTCGCGAGGAACACGATGGTGCCACTGGTTTTCTCTGAAATCATCTCCCAAGTTCAAAAACAGCTCTCAAAGTGAGGCCAAAATGGAGGGGATATCCCACCCTACTCTGAGAGTCCACCTCTACATCAAAACAAACTCTCCATGCGAAGATAGGGAGCAGATACATTAGCAGGGTTACTGTGTTTTCAGTTTTGGAGTCCTCAAGTAAAGTGGCAACCCTGCTAATGTATTTACTCCCTATCTAGACATGGATAGTTTGTTTTGATGTAGACGTGGACTCTCAGGGTAGGGTGGGATATCCCCTCTATTTTGGCCTCAACTTGAGAGCCTTTTTTGAGCTTGGGAGTTGATTTCAGAGAAAACCAGTGGCACCATCGTGTTTCTCGCGAACTTTTACATAAGAATCAATGGTCAAATCGCAAATCCCTCACACATGCAACATCTCCATTGTGGAAGGAGGGAAAATATTTGGACCGCGTTAAACAGAAAGGAACCAATAACAATGCAAGCCACATCAGCCATTACCAAATTTAATTTTTTACATGAAAACTCTTGTGCGGATTTTCGTGCAAATTTCAGTGTAATTTCTTTATAGTACGAAGCTAATTCCTTAGCATTTTTAAAGGAATCCACACAAACGTTCTCTCGTAAAAAATTAAATTGCCCAGTTAAATTTGGCAATAGCTGATGTGGCCTCGTTCTTTTGTGTTAAACGTAGTCCATAAGGGCAGAAGTTGATAATCAACGGAAGAAGTAGGGAAAAGGTCCTCTTTTTCTAAATTGGTGGGAAATTTTATGGAAAACTGATGAGAAAAATGTGGAAAGCGAATGAGGGAAAATTAAAGGGCTAGAAGTCGAAAATCAAAGGAAAGGAGAAGAAAAAGATCCTCCTTTTTGAGATTGGTGGGAACTTTCATGGAAAACTGATGAGAAAAATGTGGAAAGCGAAGGAGGGAAAACTCAGAGTCAAAAGTCGAAAACCAAAGGAAAGGAGAAGGAAAAAGTCCTCACTTTTGAAATTGGTGGGAAATTTTGTGGAAAACTGATGAGAGAAAAACGTGGAAAGCGAAGGAGGGAAAATCTTTAAGGGTCAAAAGTCGAAAATCGAAGGGACAGAGAGGTAAAAAGTTCTTTTTTTGAAATTGGTGGGAAAATTCGTGGAAACTTATGAGAAAAATATAGAAAGCCGGCGGGTGGGCGCACTAGGCACCCTGATCGGGAACTTCAGGGAATTCACGAAAATAGTTTTTTTAAATTAAGTCAAAAGTAAGTAATGTCAAATTTCAGTAAAAAGATGCCCGGAAAGGGTTTCCCAAGACGAATATTTCGACAGTTTTTTAAGAGTTTTTCCCCCAAATTTACGAGTGTTATAAACATTTTTTTTACACAGGCGTTGCTACAAGGGAAGGCAACTTTCACTCCTAGAGGGAAAATTTCGTTTACATAGCTTTTCTACTTTCAACAAAAAGTAGCTTCCTCAATGCAACGAAAAACCGTCGAGGAAATAATTCTCTTTTTCGCAACGAATCCAATTTCTCCAAGTGCGTTTGTGACTCGGCTAGATTTTTAATAACTTTACTTTAACCGACCATTGTTCGCATCGAGTATTAAAAGTAACGTTTACAGTAAAACGATTAAGGAGACACTCGGACTCTCAAGGTGATTCACCAGGGACGAATATTGCCGTGCTAAGGAAGAACGCTGTATGAGCCTTCAGACGTTGCCTAGTTTCCCTCGATAAAATCAAATTTACTGGAAAAATTGTGAATATTTTCCCCCAAAATTCTCCGACAATTTTGTACGAAATTGTATCTAAAATATTTGAAAATTCCAAAGAAAAACGTGCATGAATGCCGCCAAAAATGCACGTTTTATCGAGGGAAATTTGGCAACTCTCGAATGTTCATACGGCGTTCTTCCTTAGCACGGCAGAATAGCTAAACGATTTATCTTGGAGGCACTAACGAAGCGTAAACCAGAGATTTACGAGACAGCGCCATTAATCCTACCATTCGCGCTGCTATAAGGTGACGAGACGTTGGACAAACAAACCTACCTCGTTCAAAGCTACGAGTGACCTGTCCTACCTCACTCAACGGCCGAAAGAGCGTGTCTTTTCTCCGAGGAAGGAAACATGGGTGATCAGTCAATAGAAGCGGCTTGGATGACAAGGTGCACAAGTGCAATTTTTGAAAGAAACTGAGGTCTGAAAGATTTTAACTGAAACTAGGCCTCAAATGTAGTTTCAGGGTTGCCTCAGCCAGGGAATACCGATAAAACCGGAAAATGTTGGGGAATTTCAAAAAGTCAGGGAAAACCTGGAAATGTTGGGGAAATGATGAAAATGTCAGGGAAAAATTTGTCAATTCACCTTCATTTGCTTTTTAGAATGGGTTTGATGTTTTGAACAACAAATTTTGTCTAAAAACTATTTCAAATTATGCCTTTTTAACCATCTGGCATATCTTCAATTGCCAGGGAATTTTACTCAAATGTGACAGAGAAATCAGGGAAATATCAGGACATTTCATCTTTCAAATTCTGTGGCAATCCTGAAACATGGATGCTCATCCAACAGAAGGGCGTGGAGGACAAGGCGCATAAGTGCAGTCCCTCAAAAAAATGAGATATGAACGATTAAAACTAATAAAACTAGTCCTCACAAATATATTTTGTGAAAAATTCATACTGAAATCCTATTTCTAAGCTTCAAGAAGTGAGTGAGAACTTTCTTTCTGCCATGAGTCTCAATGTAACTTTGAAACTTTTAACACGCATTTCTTGTAAGAGCTAAACCTGCATTTCTGCAACTTGTCCCCTGAATCCCTCAGTAGATGTTTTTGCGGGGAACAAGAACACCTTTGGCCAAAGTGGGAAATATTGAATCTTCTTGTCTTTTCCCTCCGACGAGCGCTCGTTTCGTTTCCCGATTGAAATCCTTCATCGGTGATTTTGGAGTGAAATTCTGTGCCGAAGTGTATGTAGCGGCTAACAACCGCGTGTGATATGCGGAGCGGAATGTGCTCTTTTGCAAAGTGTCATACGCGTATATGGTGCTAATGGGTCAGTTGCGCTGATCACGGAATCGTGTTTTGATGCTTAATTTTTGTAGATCAGCTAAATATAATTAGATCTGTCCAAACCGCAAATTTCTACGTTCAATATTAACCGAAATATAGCCCATTGAAAAGTCGGGTTTCTGACGTCATCCATTGCGGTAATAACATGCACCCGCGGTTTCTTCAGGGCCAGATTTACCTACTAGCCGCCCATGGGCCGCTAGTATTTTGCCGCCCCCTTCTTATTCGTTTTGAAACATCAATGAAACCCATCAAATGAACGTGCCAGTGGGGGTCGGATGCATGAGACGCGTTTACTAGTGTTGAACACATTTTTTGGGAAAGCCCTGTCAACACTACTAGCAAAAGTTCACGGAACTTTGCGCGAAAGTTAAGTTTCGTAAACCTGTGTGGACAAGGCCTTCCATTCATAAGAAATGAACGAAAAATTATGAAAGAACAAACATAAATGTGGATTAATGATTTTAACTTATAAGACCTCGCGCCTCGCAGACCGCACTGTGTTTGACGCAATGCGTGAAGTATTCGTGCAGTCTTGTAGGCGCTAATATGTGTTAGAATTACGCCGATCGCCGCGCCGAGGGCTTCTCCTTTTCATCTCAAGTCCTCGTCATAATTTCTCTCTAGGTAAGTCGCGCCGTTCCAGGCCAAACTGCGTGTTTGGTTTCTCTCTTAACTCGACTAATTAAAGGCGCTGTCTCTTGTATCACTGAAAGACGACAAAAGTAGAAATTACTATACTCTCAGAAAATTAGAGATTTTGTCACCTTTTCTCGTTTGTAATTTTTTTTCTAAATCAGAATTTTTTTTATGCTTACATTTGGAAAACTTGCAAAATTTGGCGCCCCCTATGGATTTGCTGCCATGGGCCGCGGCCCATGTGGCCACCCCCTTAATCCGGCCCCGGGTTTCTTCCACCTTGTTTTCATCCAAGTTTCACGTCGAGTAACCAGTGCATCACTGACTGATGAAAGCAAGGTGGAGGAAATCACGGGTGTCACTACCGCGATGCATGACGTCAGAAACCCGACTTTTCAAAGGGCGATATCTCGGTTAATATTCAGCGTAGAAAGTTGCGGTTTTGACGGATCTTATTATTTTTAGCTAATCTGCAAGAATCAAGCATCAAAACACGATTCTGTAACTAGCGCAACTGACCCATTTCAATTCCGAGCACCCATATCATTCGGGGTTTTCGGGCGCTGTATAGACTTCGGCATCGAAATTCATTCCTCGATTTCGAAGGGTGTTCCATCCGGAATAAATGGACTGCATTTTGCAATTTGGAACTATAAATTCTGGCTCTTCTGGGAAAACACTTGTGGGCATAGGGAAACGAATGGCACATACGTTGTTATTAAACCGGGCTAGAATTTATAGTTCAAAACTGCAAAGTGCAGTCCAATTTGAGTTCCTAATATTTAGTTATATTCTTTACCGCTTGTTCAGTTCTCATTCTTATAAATAAAAAGTATCCATTTGCTAGATACAACCCTAGCTTGAGCACAATTGAGCTATGCCAATAAAATCGCAATAGCGGTAAAGGAAAACCGACAAGGCCAGCGTGAAGGCTACTCCAATATTAATCTTCCATTGCATTGCTAAGGCGCAACGATACAACTATTCGTACTCTGCGGAATGCGTGAGGTATCACGCCCCAATTGAAGGCGTTTTCGAAACTGCCAACTTCCCTTATCGGATTTCTTGTGTCAAAGGTAGTCCAAATGAGGATCCCGTTTCTGAGGACAACTTCTCCGGTTTTTTTGCAGGTTATTCCCGGGTCCCGATCTACCAAGACGACAGGACGCACGTCATTGGAGTGCTCATGGCCAAGGACCTGGCCGTCCTGGACCCAGACGACAACATCCCGGTCAAAAACATTTTACAGTGTCACCATCACGAGCTCAGCTTCGTTCCTGTGGGTACCAAACTTGACGTCATGTTGAAGATGTTCAAAACAGGTGAGCATCCTTTCGTTTCTCATGCGGCTCATACATGGAAACACCTACCTACTTAGGAAAACCAATGGCACGTGTGTTGTATCTATAATAAGTCGGAAATTGTAGTTCCTAATCGCAAAATATAGTCTATTTCGTCAAGGCAAAAGAAGGGAAAGAGGGCCTGTGCGTGACGTCATTTGAAAAACATTTTAAAATTAGGAACTACAATTTTTGGCTCATCCGTGAAAACACCTATCTACCTGGGAAAACTAATGGCTCGCGTGTTGTATCTATAATAAGTCGGAAATTGTAGTTCCTAATCGCAAAATATGGTCTATTCCGTCAAGGCAAAAGAAGGGAAAGAGGGCCTGTGCGTGACGTTATTTGGACTACATTTTGCAATGAGGAACTACAATTTTTGGCCCAAGAATGTGAGAACACTTATGTGCGTAGGGAAATTAATGGTACATATGTTGTTTCTAAACTGAGACGAATATTTGAGTTCGTATCGCAGAATTTACCCCTAAAAATTCGATGCGAAGTGCGAATTTTTTGTTGTTTGAAAATTTGTTTTTGAAAGTTTTGAAAGTTTTTTGAAAATTTTAGTTCTTATCGCAAAATTTACCCCTTAAAATTCGATACGAAGTGGCGATTTTTTTAAGTTCCTTCGAAACGAAAATCTTTGTAAAAAAATCTGAAAAAGTTTGAATCTCGTAATTTAGTTAGGGGGTCCAGCAAAAACGTAATTTATGAGGTGCAAATCTGCGTGGCAAATACGTGACAAGAGAAGTCTCAAATTTCAGCGTGACGTGCTTTACTCCTGGCCTCCATTCTGCCGTGCTAAGGAAGAACGCCGTATGAACATTCGAGAGTTGCCAAATTTCCTTGAATAAAATGTTTATTTATGAGGAATATTATGAATATTTTCCCGTGAAATTTTCAGACACTTTAAATCAAAATACAAACAAAATTATCTGAGAAGTTGGCAGAAAAATATTCAAAAATATTCTTGAAAATTAGTGATTTGCCAAAGGAAATTTGGCAACGCCTGAGGGCTCGTACGGCGTTTTTCCTTAGCACGGCAGCATTATTCTGTGCTTCAGCATCTTATTATCAGAAGGAATGTCTTTTTATTCGAAATTTAACAGCTGTTTTCATTTTTTTCATCATTTTCCCCGTATTTTCAATTTTATTTGTTTAATTATTCATTTATTTACTTTTTAATCAATCACGCAAGTTTGACTTAATTTTTACGTAAAATTGGACCGCGTTTAACAGAAAGGAACCAAGCCACATCAGCTATTGTCAAATTTAACAGGGGAATTTAATTTTTTACGAGAGAACGTTTGTGCGGATTCCTTTGAAAATGTTAAGGAATTTGCTTCGAACTATGGCGAAAATTCACTGAAATTTGCACGAAAGTCCGCACAACTGTTTTCATGTAAAAACTTTAATTAGCCGATTAAATTTGGCAATAGCTGATGTGGCTTGGTTCCTTTCTGTTTAACGCGGTACAATTTGAAAATGACGTCTTCTTGTTCTATACAGTTGAAGAAATTTTGAAAGTTTTTTTTAATAAATTCTTTTAAGAGTCACTGCTGCTCAAATTGCTCTCGTCCAGGGGCGAATCCAGCGATTTGGCAACAGGATTTCCTCCATTTAAACCCATGCTAAATAATCGATTCTTGTTGAAGCACCTGGCCCCTTCAAGAATCGATACATTGCCATAGGTATAAATGGAGAAAAAATAATGTTGCCAAGTTGTCGGATCCCCCAATACTCTCTTCTTAGATTACGTTTCCTGCCGGAACTTGCCTGACCTCTTAATAAGGTTTTTACGGACGGACTACTTACGTTGAAAGTCAACAGTGCGCGATCGCTTGGGGTTGGGGTGTGGTGTTGAATCGATAATTTTAATGACCCTCGATGTAGAAGCTACAAGCACACACCAAACTTCAGACGCATGTATAGACTTTGATATTGAGAGCAGAGGACAACTGGACTACATTTTGAAATTAGGAGCTATACATTCTGGCTCGGTTTAAAAACAACGCACGTGCCATTAGTTTCCCTATGCACTTAAGTGTTTTTTCAGATGAGCCAGAATTTATAGTTCCAAATTGCAAAATGCAGTCCAACTGTCTCTCAGTGGCGAAGCGTGATCGATCGATTATCAATATTTCCCCGTTTGAAGCTATGATAAAGAATCGATTATTAACGTGTTCGTAGCGAACACCTTATCGATCCTTTTCTATATGTTTAAATGACAGTTAAATCGATATCGTCACCTTCCAGGCAAAGTATCACAAGCGCCATGCGACGTTTACAAATTTCCGCCGCCATTTTATTTTTTTACAGAGAAATTGTTCAACGAAGCTGTCCGAAAATTTCACTGAATTTTCTTTGTGCTGCCGATAAAATATAGTGAAATTTCCAAACAGATTCAACCAACAATTTCTCAGTAAAAAAATTAAATGGCGGCGGAGATTTTTAAACGTCGCATGGCGCTTGTGATACTTTGCCTGGAAGGTGACGATATATCGCATAGCACGCCTCGCCACTGCTGTCTTTCCCGCTCATTTTTCCTCTCGGAATAAGTTCGCCAGGGAAATCAAAGGGGGAAGTTTATACCAGAAGAGCGTTGCCACATTTCAGAATAAAATTCTTCTTATTCACATCGCTTTTCGACAAAAATTATTGCACTGATGTATTGCACTATTACTATCACTTTTGAACAGCCTATGCTATGCTAGACATTTTTCTTAGAGTTCTGCACAGTTCTCTGTAGTAATTATAGAGAAAAATCGCGTGCTCTGTCCTTTTCTTACAGAGAGAATTCCCGTGAGTGTCGAAATGTGATCAAGTTCCGACATTGATGCGGACTTCTCTATTTTATAGTAGAATATTCGGATCCGATTGTTTTTTTTTCCTAGAGTACCTATACAGGGGGAGCACATATCGGTAATTTTGAATTCAGGTGGTTGAGCTCTTAGGGTCCAAAAGAGTAGCCAATATACATGCATGAACTCAATTTATACAGAGTGAATTATTATTACAATTGTCGCGACCCGACGTCGGCCAAGCACGTTTTTGACTAGTATTTGCATAAATTTACTCCTTTTTGCGGAAGAACGCTCATTTATGAACATTTTTGGCAATTTTGGTTTGATATTGGAATTTGAACTTTCGTGATAGCGAAGACAGCAGTAAGTGTCAAATTTTTGAAATCGAGTTTCCTTCAAAGTTCGTCTAATCTATTTCATAGATAAAATCATATCAGATAAAATCATTGATATAGCTAAAACAGCAAAATTCATATTAATTTAATGAAAACGAGACCTATGAGAAAGCCGTTATTGCGCCAAAAATGATGTAGTTTCAGGCAAGACAGCAGTAAGAGACATTATCCCTCCAGAGAGCCAATGAAAACATTGTTTCGAATTAGAATGCCGCCCTCTTCTTCCAATTTCTAACCTGAAAATGTGCTTGTTGTGTGTTCAAAGCGCGACCACGGAAGCATGCAGAAGATAGCACTTACGGCTGTCTTGCCTGACAATAGCCTAGCATGAAAATGAAAAATACCCTTTTTATGTAATTGAAATAAAATTGGTCGATTTCTAATCATCCAAACGATTTCTAGGAGTCTTCGGACGATTAGTGACAATTCGACAAGAAACGGAGGCTTTTCCAATTAAATTTTCTGCTCAGACGCTTCTGAACCCGGTTTCTGAAAACATCATTTTTGCACTCACTGCTTTCGTCGCTATCTCGGCAGCGCAGTGGCTTATGCGCAATGCGTGAAGTATCCATGCAGTCTTGCGGGCACTAACAGCGCGCACCGTGCAGTACGGCGCGCAAGGCGTGAAGTATTCGCGTAGTCTTGCAGGCGCTAACAGTGCGCACCGTGAAGTACGCGCAATGCGTGAAGTATTCGCGTAATCTTGCAGGCGCTAACATTGCCGTGACTATAATTGAAGTAAAATCGGTCAATTTTTAACCATCCAAATGATTTCTAAGAGTCTCTCGGATGCTTATTGGCAATTTGACATAGAGCGGAGGCTTCTCTCAATACAATTTTCCGCCCCCACGCTTCTGAGTCCGTTTTCTTTTAACCTCTTTTTTGCACTTACTGCTGAGGCTAAGAACTGAGTCTTTTTTTAAGAATTTTCCGGTTGGAAACTTCCTAGCCCGTTTTCTCGAAACTTCATTTTCGCACATACTGCTCTGCTCTCTTCGCTATCATGGCAGTGAGGACTCGGCAGTAAAATCTTTCGTTTTCATAGGTCGGCTGTTATTTTGGGCCCTAAAAGCTCCATATTTCGACTTGGCCTTACACTGAAAAAAAAAATTCTCGGCGTTTTTACCAAGGTCCGTTAGTACCTTCACCATCTCACTTTTTTTTTTTACCAATTATTGGTAATTTTACCAAGACAGACTGGTAGGCTTACGTAAAAACCGGTATTTTTACTGTTTTTTTTAATATAAGAATACCACTTTTATTGGTAATCAATTCCCCTGTAACTTTGCAATTTTATCTCGGTAATTCTACCACAGGCGATAAAAAATATTGGCGTTTTTACCAAGGTCCAGTAAAATTACCGAGAAAGTTCAGTAATTTCAATCACCGAGATTTCTCGGTAAAATTACCAATTCCATAAATGGTAATTTTACCCAAAAAAAACAGGGATCAAATATAACCCTGAATTCTTGGTAATTCTACCCTTTTCTTAGTGAATACACCGATATTTTTTTTCAGTATACTCTCCCTACATAGGTACTCCACTTTTTTCAATCTTTGTGAATGAAAAAAATCCTGACGAAAAGACAGTCAATTACCTACACGAGATTTCCGAACAATCGATTGAGATACGCTTGAGCCATCTGAATATATCCGCTGTCTCTTCATTGCACGCAAGGAGCAACTTGCGCTTCAATCAATTTTATCAACTCGAAATATCAACCACATCGACCGCATGCATAATAATTACACGATGTCTTGGCACTTACAGTGATCATGGTTCCCGCAACGCTGCCGCGCTAAGGAAGAACGCCGTATGAACATTCGAGAGTTGCCAAATTTCCTTCGATAAAACTTTATTTTTGAGGAAAGTTATGGATATTTTTCCTTTAAATTTTCAGAAACCGTAGGTGAAATTGTGAAATAAAGTATCTGAAACATTGGAAGGAACACTGGAAAAAAAACACATTGGATCTAGAGTCCAGACTCTTAAAAACATCGACAAGAAAAAATACTCTTGATTCAATCAGATTCAAGCTTAAATCAAGAACCCAGCCTCTTAATTGATTTCCTTTTGATTTAAGCTTAAATCTGATCGAATCCAGAGTATTTTTCCTCGTCAATGTTTTCAAGAGTCTGGACTCTAGATCCAATGTGTTTTTTTCCAGTGAAAATATTCACAAGTTTACCAGGAAATTCGTGTACCATCATCGGAAATTTGGCAACGCCTAAAGGTTCATACGGCGTTTTTCCGTAGCACGGCAGAAAGTCTTGTTTTTCTCACGGCCTAGAACTGCTGCTAGTACCAATATTTCTACTTGTCTTGTTTCGATCAACTTGATGAGTATTTTGGCACGCGTTTAAGGGCTTTGCTTGTTTTCTAGGCTCAACGCCGACGATAATACTGTCGTGCTAATTGTAAGTAGTAACTCCGCCTGAGGATTCGAATGTTGCCTAATTTCCTATCAGAAAACATTTATTTTGTAGGAAAGTTATGAATATATTTCCTCGAGATTTTCAGATCAAATTACAAACAAACTCTGAAAAATCGGAAGAAAAATTATTGCAGATTTTCCCGAAAATTCGTGATTCTTTAAAGGAAGTTTGGCTACGTCTGAAGGTTCATGCGGTGTTCTTCCTTAACAAGGCAGAATTTTTGCTACTACTTGTACATGGAATCTATTTAAACTAGTTTACGCGATTAAGATTCCTCTAAGCATTCTCTTCCCTCCGCAATTTTCGCATTCGAGTCATTTCGGAACACCAGAGGCGGATCCGTCACTTCGGCAACAGTGGATTCTCTCCATTTAAACCTATGCGAAATAATCGATTCCTGTCGGAAGTGTCGGAGCACGTGGCCCCTCCAAGTATCGATACATTTCCATAGGTTTAAATGGAGGAAAGACAATGTTGCCAATTCGCTGGATCCGCCAATGCTGAATCATGGTATCAATGCCGCAAAGGTAATTACTTACTTAATTCCTCATCAATAATTATCTCGTCGAATTCTCATTTGAAACACCCGGAATTCTCTTCGTCCCGATGGAATTCCTACAATGAAAATCGGAATTCCTTAAGATAACAGGAATCTTAGTTGTAATAAATAGAAACTCGACGAGGAAATCATTAACAGGACATTCCCTCGGTCGCTGTGGGAAATTTTTCTCCGTGCCATAGCGTAAGTCTATTTTAAAGCCTACTCAAGATTGCCAAATCTAAAACTCAACATAAAGCTAAAGTAACTGTTTTTATTTGCCGCGGATCAAATGGAAGATATCTACAAAAACCATACGGTTGTTCGAGACAAAATGTCCGTAAATTAATACACGTCATAAATTACGTCAGGCTGAAAAGAACTTCCAACCCCCCTCCCCCCCCCAGCCACGGATGCGTCACGCAAATCTACACCCCGTAAATTCTGTTACATTTGGTGGCCCAAAAAAAACAAAATTGGAAATTTTTGTCTATATTTAAACCAAAGTGAAAGGAACCATGGTATGTATCACCGATGTGGATGCCGAGCGCCACGTGGTTTTTGAAGGGCGATACCTTCGTAAGTATTGGACTTGGAAAGGTGTTGGAAAAGATTTAGGTGATTGCTTCTTGCCGATTTAAAAGAAATCGTAAAAACACGAGCTCGTGGCCCAGAGTATCGCGATTTTATCTACATCGATGTATTGCTATATCATCAGATGAAAAATTAAAATTTCTATAAAATCGCGATTTTATCGACGGCGATTTATCACAATATTATCGAACAAATAATTCGTGATAAATTAGCATGAAATTTCGATTTTACAGAGAAAAAATTGCGACAAGATTGAGGATAATCGCCCTGGTGTTGACAATACTAGCGATTTTAGCGTCAAAAATCGTAAAAAAATCGCAACTCAATTTCATAACAGCGCGATTTTTCTGTTGAAAAATGCTACCTAGGACCAGCGCTTACTGGACCATTCTTAGACCACTAGATTCCAGTTAAATCCAGTTATGTCCAATTATGTATACGGTTGTTTCCAGAGAGACACTTGCACAATCTTCGCAGCATTCAGATGGCGCTTACTTTGTTTTGAATTTTTACTTCTCATTTGTCACGCACCTCGAAAAATCAGGTTGAAAAAGCTTTCCTCAGCAGTTTCGGGCTGCGCTGAAGAAAATAGGAACCTACTCTGCCCTGCTCAGGAAAAACGTCGTATGAACATTCGAGAGTTGCCAAATTTCCTTCGATAATTCAAACGTTCATTTTTTAGGAAAGTTATGAATGTTTTCCCTTGAAATTTTAAGGAACTTTAGGTAAAATAGCGACCAAAATTACCTGAAAGATTGGAAGGAAAATATTCAAAATTTTACCAGGAAAATTCATGTTTTACCGAAGGAAATTTGGCGATGCCTGAAGGCCCATACGGCCTTCCTCCTTAGCACGGCAGTACGGGTTGCAAAAAAAAAAAAAAAAAAAAAAAAAAAAAAAAAAAAAAAAAAAAANAAAAAAAAAAAAAAAAAAAAAAAAACACCGACTATGAAGCCGAGTGAACTTGTGAGCCGTAATAGCGGTATCTCCTATTTGTGATGGGATTATTCAATTGAGGGGCTTGCAGGACAAGGCGCATAAGTGCGGTTTTTGAGAAAAATGAGATATTAATGATTTCAAGTGTAAGTAGTAGTGAAAAATTCGCTCCCAAATCCCAGTTTTTACGCATCACAATGTCAGTTTGAACTTTCTTTCCGCCACAAGGATCCGTGCAATTTTGAAACTTCAAACACGTATTTCTCGACGTAGACTTAACTTACAAACTGCAACTGTGACAAAAACTGCACTTATGCGCCTTGTGATAACCAGAAACATTTCATCATAACAAATAATTGACATTGTCACTTAATTCATTTCTGACATAGGGCAACGAGAAGTTTTTTTTCAACGTCGTTATGAACTGCCCAAGCCTTGGTAGCGTTTTTTGTCGGGAAAATTTAAATAAAATTGTCATTCCTTGGGATAATGTTGCTGTAAATTTAAAATTCTTACAATGTCTCGTCCTACTCGCTATATCATAACCAAACCATTGCAGGTGATCTCCACGCCTACGAGTAAAAGAATAGCAACGAACGGTTTCAATGATATTGATAATATCGCCTTGATACAACTATTCGTACTCCATGGACGCGCGTGTTGCATACGAAAAAATTGAAGGCGCTCCGGTCACTGTAGTCCAGTGGACGCAGCAGGGTGGCCTTGTGTGGCCAAAAGTATGTAAGAAATCGGTCAAGATTGCCTGACGTTGAACGGCCTCAACTCTGCTTTTTTTTTTTTTTTTTCTTAATAGCTTAGGGGTCGAATTTCCCAAGTAGCAGTAATCGTGATAAATAGCAATTTTCTCGGTTGGTTATCGCGATTATATCGATGGCAATTTATCGCGATATTATCAAAATAAAAATTGCGATTAATATTTGTGGATGAAATTGAGATTAAAACGGTATATATCGCAATTTCATTGCGTTAAGATCGAGGATAATCGCTCGGATGTTGATCCTAGAGGTTCAGTTACACGATCAAATTGAGCCATCAAACTGAAGCTCTGATTGGTGGAAAAAGACCTGAGGTGAGGATGCGACCAATGAGGGGCCCAATTTGATGGCTCAATTTGATCGTGTAACTGGACCTTATTAATTTTATCGCGTAGAGAAAAAAAAGGAGGTGTTCGCATTTCGGGCATCTTGGATTTTTTTTGATGACGTAGGTCGGCACGACGAGTTTCATCATCGATTTTCTTGGAAATGGTGTAATTTATGGAAAAAAGTAACCCTTTAAATAGTGCTTGAAAGTTTATCATGAGTTGATTGAAGCGAAAAATTCGGACACCACGGTCGGTTTTTCATACTGCAAATCCCAGATTTCGCTGGCCAGGTTGTACCGACCTACGTCACAGGGTAAACAAACCTCAAGATGTAAACACCTCCTTTTTTTCCTCTCTGATTTTATCGCGATTTTTGCGTCGATAAATGCTACTTCGGTCGCACCGGTTCGCCGGCCGAACTTTCAAAGCCCGACCGGCCGAACTCCCCAACGGGGACTTTTTCGAGAATCTCGCCTTTTAAGATGTCCCGGCGCCCCTTGTGTTTCCTGTTTGTTTTATCTGTTGACACTAACTCGTGATCGATATTCTGTGGCAGGGATGAAGGGTCACATGGCGTTCGTCTACACCAAGGACTTGGGCAGCTACAAGGCCGTCGACGGACTCGTCACACTCGAAGACGTCATCGAGGAGCTCATCCAGGCCGAGATCAATGACGAAACCGACGTCTACAGTAAGCACACGCACCCTTGCGTCGTCCATCCCCACCCGCCAACCCCCAAACCCTATCCCTCCTACCCCCCAAACCCTAAATCACGCCAACTCCGCTTCCGTCCGCCGCATAGTGGATCCAGTCAGTAGGAGAGGTCGGACAAAATTTGAAAACTTTAAACGCTTTTAACTCCGTTTATACGAATTTTTGAGGTTCTGAAAGTGGCTCCACTGGTTTTCTCGTGAAATTCTCTTCCAGAACCACCCCTTAAAGTTTAAATTGTGAAGAAACAAACCTTAAAAATTTGCAGTTTTAGTAAAAAATTTCATGCCCGACCTCTCTAATTTACTCAATCCTCTGTGCGCCGAGGGATTGTTCCGGCCCTTTGACCTCCGTGTCTCCCTCGACCCCACACGCATCAGCGCGTGGCGTCTTGTTTCAGGGGGAAAATGCCCTATGAACTTTCAGACGTTGCCAAGTGTTCTGTAAAAAAATTTAAGGCGATTCGATGGACGCCATATTTTGTGTCAGAACGGAATGCGATACCTACATCGCATCAATTGGTTCCATTTTTTCAGCTACTCGTCATTTTTCTCCAATTTTGAGATCGCAATTCTGTTGTCAGGAGACTGAAGCACTTATCAATTTTAACAAAGAAATTCAACGTAATAAAGGCGTGGTATTTTTAGAGAGAAAACATCGCATTCGGTACTAATATCGACACTGCACTCGAATGCGATATTTTCTCCTCAAAAAAAACCACGCCTTTATTACGTTGAATTTCTTTGTTGGAATTGGTAAGTGAGTGCTTTAGTCGCCTGACAACAGAATTGCGATCTCAAAATTGCAGAAAAATGACGAGTAGCTGAATAAATGGAACCAATTGATGCGATACATCGCATGCCGTTCTGACACAAAATATGGCGTCCATCGAATCGCCCTAATTTTCTCAAGAATTAAATCTTAAGGTCAGGAGCCGTTCAAGCATTATGTAACGCACTTAGGGGGAGGGGAGATTTAAGACAGCGTTACGGTGTGTTACAAGAGGAAAACAGGGTCAAACATAGCGTTACGTAACAGATACGAGCCACTAAAACTACTTTGAAAAAACTACTTTGAAAAAAGCGTGTAAAAAATTTAAAATCCCGCCCTTTTTGCAAGCTGTTTTCTCAGCGTTTTCTTGATTTTTTCTTTAAGTTGGGGGAGGGGAGGGGAGGCGGGAGGGCAGGCCAGCGCTACGTAATTCAAAAGGCAAGTGTAGGGCTATGTCATGGGTGTGTTACCAGGGGGAAGGGGGATTATAAATTCGGAAAAAGTGGGTTATGCAACACTTGAACGGCCCTTTACCAGAAACGTACCGAGTCGCATTTGGAAAAAAAAAACGAGTTAGAAATAGTTTTGAATTGAACTAGTCGTAAATTTTCACCCCTTAAAAGTTCCAAGGGGAGATGAAATATTTTGAACTCAAAAAATTTGATCTTTTTGAACTTTTCTGCTTCGAAAAGTATACTATGGCAAAGACATAATTTGAAGCAGATGAACCTCCATTTCACAACTCTATTTGATGTTGTAAGTGGCCGCTGTCATGTACAGTTCCTCAAAATTTGAACGTAAATGATATTTACTTAAACGACAAGTATAACAATGTATCCTGTCACCAATCTCATAATTTTTTTTTTTCATTTGTAGCTGACAATCGATCCAGACGGAAATGTGTGCGGCGGAAAATTTTGCAAGACTTGGAGAATTTCGCAGTTTCGAAAGGAAGATCTGTCGAAATTTCACCGCATCTGAGAACAGCTGCCTTCCAGTATCTTATTACAGGTTAGATATCAGTTTTGAAGTCCTTAACAAAGTTAAACAGGGGGTTTAGCAATGGTGGATATGGCTTGGGGTTTCACTAGTTCAGTCGACTATCAATCAAGGTAGATAGCCAAATGGGCTTCAAACTTTGAGAATTGTCCAAGAGCCCAAACGCTTTAAAATCAGTCAAAAGGGGCACAAATGTTGGAAACGATTAGTAGGACCAGAAACCTTTAAAGCGACCCGATGGAACAATAGCCTTTGTCAAGGGGCACTCACTTTGGAAATAATTTAAAGGGCCAGGGACACTGAAAAGAGTCGATCATGACTAAAAAATAAGGAATGGTCTGAAGGATAAAGAGCAGATCATGTGAAACATACCTTGCTTTTAGGTCTTAACTTGCTGTAATTGGAGCTTAAATACGGTAGATAGTCCAGTGAGTTAGATGCTTTGAAAATGCTTAATAGATTTTATAATTTTTGGGATATCCATGGTGAAACTAAAGAACCCTGATTCTTGATTACTGCGTACCAAAATTTCAGCTCCTATTTCATTTCTTTTTCTGAAAACAAAAAAGAACCCATAAACATAGGCTCTTAAAATTCTCATTGGAAGTTCTTCACACAGAGGAAAAAAGTCTTGAGAGTTTTCTTGAGATGATGCACTACAGCGTCTGATAGGAAGAGAGGCAAGGAGCCAAACAAACCAAGTTACACAGTTCTCTAGTTCACTTATGATATTTTTTGACAATACTCAGTTATGATTGAAATGAATTGCATCTTTTTATTCTCTTTCTGCCAACAATAACACAAAACATAGAAATTACAGAAAAACAGACAAGGCACCTACTAAGACATTGTCTTGTGATAGGTGGAGTCTACAATTACATTCTTCAATTCATACAAAGAATACATTTTTTATTTGAACAATAATCCTGTAAAAAAAATGTTTGTAAAGAATACAAAAAGAAAGAAAGAAAGAAAGAAAAAAAATAAGTATGTGTATTTTTAAATGTAATTTAAAACATGTAATCAATTAACATGATTATATACATGTTTCAGAGGTGGAGCCATTCAAACCCAAATATGTGTCTAGTCAAGCTCTGAATAGACTGCTCAGATTTGACATCTATCATCATATCGCTGGCCATTCAATAGATGGACAGAATCGTCCACCTTCCGTTCAGTTGTATACAGAGGTAAGCCAACAGTAAAATAAGATTTCATTCAGTTTAAACCATATTTGTACATCTGGCGCAGAGATCTTGGTGTCTATGACTTGGATTTATTGGGATCTATCGACTAATCGACGGTGTAAGTTGGCAATCACATAATTCGGTTTGCGATGTCGCAAACTTTCTGTCATACTTTATTTTTTAAATGGAAAACTACTCAATGGCAATTCTTTAAAACTGCCGTAATTTTTTTTCTCTGTGCTAAGAAAATTTTGCATAAACTTCAGGGAATGATGTCAATTTGTTCTCCTTTAAAAAAAAATAACATAGAGGCGTAGATTTTCAGACACCGCAAACGAGATATGTGATTGCCGACTTACACCATTGATATCTGAGAAAAGCAGGGAATTTGTCAAGAATTGGTGCCCAAAAACCAGTCATTTCTTCTCCCTCCGCTCCAAAATTAAATTATTTTCAAATTCCATTATCCGTGCTGTGCCAACTAGGTTTCTAGGAATCAGACATAAGATGGAAAAGTCTCATTGCCTTTTTCTAGTGAATTGTCAGTTTTAACAACGAATTAGTTGCAGATTATGGATACATATGTGCAATATTTTGTATCTTCGAGGGGGAGGGGAAGATTAATTTTTTGAGGCTCTAAACTTGCATCTTGGTTACAAGAGGGAGCTCCAAAAGAATCCAAGTTTTAGTGGGATATAAAAACTTCTGTTTTCGTTACAACAGAAGTTTTGCGTTCATGACTGTGTAAAGGATGGAGCAGTTTTATAACTTGAAATGTGAATCACTTATGTTGCGTCTGAAAGAATGTACCTTCATTTCTCTCTCCTCAAACTTTATAATTTCTTTAGCATAGAACTGAAATTGATATTATACCAAAAGAAAAATATGTTTTATTCAGCATTTTACTTACCTAAGTAAATTTTAATTTTACTTCCAAGGTTATCCTGTTTTTCCCTTTGATTTACCCATCTCCTGATAGGCAGCACGGTAATGAAACCAAATGATCTAAGTGCTTTCTCTAAAGAATATTTCTTTGAACAGATTGCGATCTGGAAAATATTTGTTCCTGAGATTTTAGATGATCATGAGAACTGCTGCTAAAATGTCTGTAAGCTCTTTAGACTTTACGATTGATGAAAGTTTATTTCAGAGTTAACTTTACTATGTACAATTAAAGTAATTTTTCAAATTTATGTGCACACAGGGTAAATCAGCTGATTATTTCATCATGATTCTGCAAGGTAAAGTGATGGTCAAAGTCGGCATCGAGAATCTTACATTCCAGAGTGGTCCCTTTGCATACTTTGGCATTCAGGCCTTAATGAAAGGCAGTTTACAGGGTAAGTGAAGGAAAGCAACATAATCACCTTTTACTTTCGAATTGATATAGATAATAAATCAAACTGAGTCTAGGAAATTTTTCAAAAATTATCATCCTTGTTTGCTGTTCTTAGTGTAGGCTTGTAGTCATTCAATGTGCATTATGACTGCATTTGTGAAAAAAATACTTATTTTCCTACAGAAAATTTTCCTTATTTTTCTGCGTATGCATGGAAGCAAAAAATCCGGAGATTTTGGCAAGTTTGACTCTGAAAGCTCAAAAATCGGAAAATATATGAGTTCTAAAGTTCCAAGATAAAAATTCTGCGGCCCTAAAAAATTATGGTTTAATTTTTTAAAAAAAATTATGGTTTAATTTTTTAAAAAAAATTATGGTTTAATTTTTTAAAAAAAATTATGGTTTAATTTTTTAAAAAAAATTATGGTTTAATTTTTTAAAAAAAATTATGGTTTAATTTTTAAAAAAAATTGAGGTGAGTTTTGTCTTAGAAGATAAAGTCTCTTTTCAAATATCCAATCACTAATAATATGTTTTAGTTCTCATCGTGGTTTAATAGCTCATTATGGCTCAAAGTCCTTACATGAGCAGTGGCTGATGATTGCAACCATCAAAAGTTCCAAAACACATCCTTGCGTGGATGACCTGAATTTACTCAATTCTTCTTCGTTTTCTTACGTAAAAATCTTAATGAAGTCTCTCGACATCAGAAAAAATCATGGTGCTAAATTGATCGGCAGTTTATTAATAGTTAATCCTCGGTTTGTACACGGAATAGCTCTGCCAATGGCCAACTCCTCCCCGGTGAATCGCCTCCTGCAGGATGCTTTCTCGCACTTCTTCCCGGATCCTGGCCCGAACGATCTGGACCTCCCACCACCATCCATACCGCGGCAATCTCCATTCCATTCGCGAGAGGGCAGCACCCATGATGGCGGTGTTCTCGAAGAAGGTGAACTTTCCTCAGAATCAGCAGCCATCCTCCTTGAGGCCGTCCGTCTCGAGATCAAGCAAGACAATCTTGAACAGGTAATTCCTGAAGACGTCGCATAATAATGGGATTCAGCATGAACAGCTTCATTGCATGTGGTGCTTAGAGGGAAAGTGGTTTCAATTTGGACGGCAGGTTCTTAAAAAGTCACGAGCAACCTAAAAATATGCATACATTTCTCTCAACAGGGAAATGTCAGGAAACTCGGCAGTCAAGCCTAGGATTTTCTCATCGCTTCAAAATTTTTAAACGACTCGTATTACAACCATGCTCAGTTGAACTACATTTTGTAATTAAAAACTGCAATGTTTGGCTTGTCTTTAAAAACGTTTATGTTTATGTACCTAGAAAAGCTAATGGCACTTATGTTGTCTCGAAGTTAAGCCAGGAAATATAGTTCCTATTTGCAAAATTTGTAAAATATATTTGACGAAAAGAACGCAAGAAATGTTGAGGGCAACTGAAATGGATTTTTGGCGGCGATCTGCCGGCATTTCGAGACGGGACTGTGTCTGTAATGAGAGAATTCGCCAGGTGATGAAGGTTGAAAAAGATATCGTGCATGACGTCATGTTCAGGCAGTTATGCTGGTATGGACACGTGCAAAGAATGTCTGAGGAGAGGTTGCCCATAACAAGTTTTGGATTGGGTACCACCTGGGAAGAGGCGACGGGGACGTCCCGTAAAGGGTTGATGGCAGGGCGTTGACGAAGAGATGTTGCGGTGTCAGTTGCCGGAGAACCTCTGAGAAGACAGGCATGTGTGGCGTTTGGGTGTCGTAGAATGCCAGAGTGCGTTGTAAAGCGACTTTTATATACTTATATATGTGTAAAATATATTCTTTTATTGCTTCAGGTATAGGTTGTTAAGAGAATTTTCATTCCCAACAGCCTCAAAAAACATACAAATGTCTGGACAATGTAAAATTTAAAAATCTTGTCACTCTTTAAATACTTAAAAAGGAATTACCTGAAGAGGCTCCCAAGATGAACGTTGACAAATAAAAAAAATAAATTCTCTTTTGAGGTTCAGGCGATGCAAATTAAAAATTTGTATCAGTAAAGTAAGACCAAGTTGCTAAGCATCGAGCATTTTGCATTAAAATAATATCATTGCAAGTTGAAACCCTCAGTTAGTAATTACCCAGAATACCTATCTTTGGAATTGTTGTTTATACCCCTGTCAATTACCCTGGTTTGTAATGGCGAGTAATCATCGAGTAATCTGTCTCATTCACCAAATGTGGAGCATATTCACCCACATACGGTCTCTGCAATTTTTGCTCCTGCTAAACCATTTATTCATATTGCTGTTCTAAGAATAAAAACAAGCCGTGGAAAAAGGCTTATCAAATAATGAGAAACTCTTAGGTGCATGATATAGCTTCCAATAGGTAGGCTGCAGCGATAACTATCCTCAATAAACTGTGTCAATATTCAGAATTCAGTCGCAATCACTTTTTTACTGCATGTATTGTATATGTCAATTCTAATTGCTTGAAAAGAAAGAAATGGGGGGGGGGGGGAGAAAAAAAAACGTAAGTCTGTGCAAGTCAAGTCTACTAAATTAATTTCAGCAAACCTCGCGATAATAAATTTTTCTGGTATGCTGAATTATTTCGACAGCAATTTTAGAAGTATCATGTTTTGAAAGATGTAGGAGATTTTTGTTGAACCAAAAAGTGAATCACCGAACAAATTAGTTGGCTCTCAAAGGTTGATTTCATGTACGATGGTGATGGTGTTTTCATGAGCAGGGAGTTAGAGTTTATTGATTCTAATGGCAACTATAACTGATTATATTTCCCGTGTTTATTTCAATGAAGAAAATTATTTTGCAACGTTTTGATTCTTACCCTGTCTGTCTGGTGGTCCACTTTGGAGAATTGCAAGACTCAAAAGATTACTGAGGAAAAAACATCTCTACACAAAACCAAAAGTATCTGATAAAGGTCAAATTTTAAGTTTGCAGTAGTGAGGAAACTTTGGTTTAAACCTACAAGCCTGATCAACGACCTTCAGCAGGGTTTTCTCAATATTTGGAGAAGTTATGAAGTTTAGAAATAACCCCTGCGCCCTCAAACCGTAGTGTCTGCAATCCTCAACTTTTGCTTCTTGATTCCTTGCTTGCACTCATTTTGCAACCCTGTATGATTTTTCTTGATAATGAGACTAATCAACTTAAACCATTTCCTGCACTCCTATCAAATATGTCTTGATAACAGAATTAACTTAACTTACTTTCCCAAGTAGCACAGTGCAATGAAAATATTGAAATTAAATTGCAATTTGATTTCAAAAAAATTGTAATTTTTTTACCATTAAATTGCAATATTTTCACATCATTTGGTCGACTTATGCCGATTTTAAACAATCGAGAAAATAAGCTGCATGTCAGAAAGATAGGCAATATGCAATGCAATGAAATATTGCAACTTATTTTAATTTTATTGCAGTAAGTTTCAACGAACGGGGCCCCTTCAAATAGGAGCTAGGCAACATACACAACACTCAGTGGAATTGCAATATTTTTACTATGTAATTGCTACTTATTGCAATCTATGCTACTTGGGTTCTGCACGTTTGAATGATAAGTCTTGATAATGGAACTAACTGAACTATGAAAAACTTAACCCTTTGCATCCCCGGATATTGGAACTTTTTGAACTATGTCTGATAGATCTCAATAAATGTCCGCAAGGCCCAGCACGCGAGCAATGCGCTGATGGAAGCAGAGCGGGAACACACAGCGCTGAACGCAGGAGCAGTGAAACAGCCAGGTCCTGAGCCGCAAGAATCGGTCGGAGCCTCGCCTCAGAACAGTAGTAAAAGCCAGGGCAGTGTCACATCTGCCAGTTTCACGCCGTACTACACCGTGAGCACTCACGGAGAGGTATACTACATGCGCATCTCCCGCAGTCTCTACCAGGCCCTTGTGCAGGCCACCATCATCGAGCGAACCAAAGAACGCGATAGAGCCGACAAAGTAAGTATCCCGAACAAAAAGTTATTTTTGGCCCAACCTTGTAAATAAAAAGGCTGACAAAGTTACATTTCAGATACTTTTTTTGACAATTGTCAGGGTGAGCATCAGGATTTTCCTGATTTTCCCGATTCCATCAGGATTTGAGGAAAAATCGGTCGTAAAATCAGGATTTGAGAAAAGTCGGCCGTTCGATTGGATTTTTTTTATCAAGCTATTTTTGTGAAGTTTTAATTTTTCTCTTTAAAAAATTGGGATTTGATCAGGACTTGGAAAAATTATGAAATCAGGATTTAGCAGTCAAAAATCAGGCAAAATTAGAATTTCATCAGGATTTTCTAAATTGAAAAAAAACTAGACACCCCGTTAGTTTGAAGAGAGTTCGATTTTAAAAGTTTATCATGCTCAGAGGGTCGTTGAGAATATTGAAAATCAAAATTATATCGAAATTTGGAAAAATTATACCGGTATTTTCCAGTATTCTGCCCGTAGTTTTTTTTATCCTTGGCCTTTTGAGCTGCATGAAAGAAAGAAAAGGTGGCGACTATGCAGGACAATTTTACTTTTTCTGAAGTGTATTTTACTCAGTCAGTAGATTTTCAAAGCTACCGTTAAACACTGAGAAATTACTTTTATGTAATCCAAGAGTTATACAAATCCTAATCATATCTTCATTGAAAAAAGTGCAAAACCACACATCTCCATTGTGCTGTTTCAAAATTTCCCCTCCTACTTTACTTTTTCGAGGAGAAACAAGTTAACTTAACAGCGTGAAATTTGCATAGAATTTTCTCCTAACAGAGAAGAAAAATTATGGAAGTTTTTAAGAATTTGCGTTGAGCAATTGTTCATTCAAGTAAGATAGTATGACACAAAGTCTGTAATGTCGCAAACATAGATACCCGTGTGGTCTCACACTTCAGCCATTGATATTATCTGCTTTTATATTGACAATGATCTCTTAATTCCAGGCATGGAATCAAAAGAACGGATCCATGGAAAACATAATTGGTCATTCAGAGTATGTTCCATTGACGGAGAGAGAAATCTCGCCAGGTAAGGTTTATTTGACTCTACAACCTCCCTAAGAGAATAATTTGGTTATTTCTTTACAATTTTTAAATTCAGTTTTAGAAAGCTCCTCAAAAATAAGAAGGAACATGTCTCTCTTTTGAAAGAATGTAAGCAAACAACCAGGGAACACCTCTCATAGTTGCTAAAAATCAGAACCCATTCGAAAGGAATAAATATCACTCTGACAGATTTATCAACATCAAATGTTGCATTGATCACAGTCGTTATCACCTTGAAAATGTTTTAAGTTTATCGTCGAACATTTGGCTGTTTGAGGCTGTCAGCCTCCTTTAAGATGTCATCATTTTCGCGGTCCATGGATTTTTTTCCACAGTTGTTCATCTCTTTAGGTGTTTTTCAATTGCTACTATAATGATTCAAAATGTCTAGAACCGAAAACTATCTGCTAAATTTGTATAATTTTTTAAGTATGAGCAATGAGTTGCAAGGTGGCGGAACCATTATTTTTTTTACACGAGATTCATGGCGATGGAAACCATAAATCGTTGTGACATTCGTCATCACTGGCAGCAAGCCAATGATACTTGATTTGCGCTTTGTACAATGGTCCATTAACTTACTATCATATTCAAGAAGTTCTTTTATTCTACCAATCATTGTATTTCATTCGGAATTTTCTGTTCTTAGGTAACGAGTCGCACAATTTCGAAAGCGGTGAGCGGAAACAAGACTCTCATAAGATTACCTTTGACGATTACCTCAGAAACAACTTAAATAAATGAAGCTGAATGACTATGACCAGAGAATGATGTCAATTTATCAGAACAGTTGACTCAAATTCCAGACTTTATCCATAAACCCAGACGATTAAATTAGTCTTCCAAATATTGAACAAAGCTGACGTTAGAAGTTCACAAATTGCTGGGCTATCTTTTGAAATAAAGAGCTTTCCTGCAAGTCTCGTGTATTTTTTTCTCTGAATTCGGCAATGGAAAAGTTACGTCATAAAACCAGTCATAAATAGGTTTAGAAGCTTACTATTAGTGCATTATTTATAATTTTTCACAGAGTGTTTCGAAATAGAGAAGCAGTATTATATGATAAGTAGTGCGTCAAAGAAGGAATAATGTTATTGGTCAACGTAAATTCTCACCAAATATTGCAAAATGTTATTTTATACAGAAAAATGTTATACTGAATATTTTTTGCTACTGTACAAAACTTTGCTGTTATGTTTAGGTTAAGTATCTATGCTCGACTTCACTTCTCCTTCTAATTTTTTAAAGTTTTCTTTTTTTGTGTAGTGTAAAATTTTATCACGATTAGATGTGATGAATCGGAAGCCATAAAGAATGTACTATTGTTATGGATATGATTCCGAAAAAAATGGACTGTATATCCCATTGACTAATTGTAAATTAGATTGTTAAAATTTCTCAATTTTAAGAGAAGAATTATGTTACCATTTTTTCATTGTTATTGTTTGTTAGCTCTGATTGAGAGGGTAGTTGTTCCAGGACCAGAGTCGATATTGCCTTGCTTAAAAAACGCTGTTTGAACGTCGGAACGCTGCCAAACTTCCTCCAATGAAACAATCATTGTCGTGAAAATTTATGAATATTTTTTTCTGAAATTTTCAGATGTTGTAAATTAAATTGCAAAGGATATTCTCTGAAAAAATTGGGAGAAAAAGATCTATTAGTTTCCCTGATAACGCGTTTACTATCGAAGGAAATTTGGCAACGTCTGATGGCTTATACGGCGTTCTGCCTTAGCCTGGCACAATCCTTGTATATTATACTCTTGAAATTATTGATACAATGGCCGAACTCTGATTCTTGAATGCCTGATGTTCCAAATTTCTGGTTACGCTTGCATTTTTAAATGGCGAACTAGCTACCGTCATTTCTTACAAAACTTATCTTTCCAAACGAACCATATTCTGTGAATATTTAAAATTAAGAAGTTGATTCATTTTTTCAAAGAGAATTAATATAATTAAGAGGAAAAGATGGTGATAAACGTGCGTGTTTACATATCAAAAAGTCTGCAACTCCTCAAATCAGTACAAAATTTGCTAAGGTCAAGAATATATCTACTATTTCACGAATTTTTTTGCATTTTTAGAACAACCCGCATTTTAATTTTTACCTTTTAAATAAATTTTAAAAAGTCCAGGGAGCAGAAAATAATGCTACTCAATCATTTACGATAGTTAATTTTTGATGATTCTTCATGCAATTTACATCTCTCTTTGTAATTCTGTTTTTTAGTTTGTTTTATAAATACTTTTTTATTTTCCTCGTATGAAAGTATAGTTCGTACTGCATGGTATTATACCAAAATAAGATAGAGCGGCTATGAACGAAATGAACGGAAGTTTTATAGCGTTGCTTAGTGTAAAAATGGCTAAAACCGTACCTCACAAACGTGCCTTATTCCAGTACCTTTCATGATATCAATAAAATTCTGTTATCAAATTTTTGTTATGGACACTCTGCTTGAGTGCTGGGAGAATCCAGTAAAATTTCTAAAAAGAAGCAAGAATTTGATGACTAATGTCTAAAACCATGTATCTCCTGTTGCTAGAATTTCTCATCATACTTGTTGTTTTGCGCTGGAAAATGATCAATGCAATTTCTCAAATCTTTTGATTTGTTTCTCTGAGTAATAAATTTTCTGTGCATGAAGTTGGTTTATTCCTTTCATAATAAAAACGGTGAGGATCCAGAAATTTGACACGCTGTAATTGAAGCATAGGATTTTAGAATTTAGTCATCAGTATATGTCCTCATGAAATTCACCTTAATGATGCACTGAAGAGGAAAGTGAATTCAGCCGTTACCATAAGATTGTTTGTGTAACTTCTAGTTTCTGTAAAAAATTGTTGAATGAAACCACTGTTATTCACAAACTGTTATTATTGATCTAGTTGTAATAAATTTCAAAAAATTTCTTTTGACTTGGATACCTGCCAGTTTTTTCTTTGTGTGTGCATTTTTCTAGTGGTGCTGAAGAAGTGAAGATGCATATCGCCTTGTCTCCACGGGACGTTTCACAGGATTTTTCTCAAGTTTGAATCGCAGGAATGAAACTTCTGGGCTCTTTTCCCATTAAAAAACACAGCAAAATTCTTCTTATTCTTTGGAAGTCGTTCCTGAGACTCCACAAGGACTCTTAGTTGGTATTGTGATTAGTATTGACTGACTCAATATTTTTCCCAACTTCGCAATTGAGATTTTTCCCTGGGACAAATCCCATGAAACGTCCCGCGGAGACACAGCGTAGGAATGCTCAATATTTTTACTCAATGCTCAATGATCTTTGATAGTAGATTGGACTGATGAGTTGCATTAATTAAACCAGGGAATCTAATGAAGCTTACAAGTTTTCCTTTGTGAATTCTTAGTTGATGAGCCCTACCATACAGGAATAAGCAGGACTTGACTTCAGGGAGTGTTTTTCAGGTTTCAGAGAAGAGAAAAAAGATACCATCAGAAAAAGAATACTGCTTTTTGTATTTCACTTTTTACACCTTTCGTACTTGCATCAATGATTTACAATAAGTTAATAAAATAATTTATTATAAAAACTAATAACAATAATTTTTTACCAAACAATGATAAATTATGTCCTATGTACAATTTTTTAGCACCCATATTGATCGGGTGGTTATCAATAACTTGATAAGCACCACTAACTTTTCCCCTCTTTCGTTTGTTCACTACGAAGCCTGGCTATTTCCTCACCCAAAGTATCCATGTTTTCCTGCAACATTCAAATATCAGTTGATGAGGAAGATAAAATATCAAATGGCATAATAGGTTTGAATTGATAGTGACAAGACTTTTTCCCTTAGTTCGGTAATCATTTTAAGCCGTGGTCAGATATGACTGTGATAATGATGATGGAGAATCTTCTGTGCAGGTGCAACATTTTTCATAGAGGGCAAGAAGCCACTCTGAAGGAGTTTGTGCTCTCTCGAATCCATGGATTTCCTGACTTTTTAGGTTTTCCAGACCGCAGGAAACCTCTGCAAATGAGTCGGTTGCACTGGTCACAGAATTATGTTGATTCTTGCAGAGTAGCTGAAAATATTAAGATCCGTCCAAACAGCAACTTTATATGTTCAATATTAACCCAGATATCGCCCTTTGAAAAGGCAGGTTTTTGACATGATCCACCGCGGTAGTGACACCCTTAGTTTCTACTACCTTGCTTTCATCAGTCGGTGTGACGCACATTTGCACTGGTTACTCAACGTAAAACGCGGATTAAAGCAAGGTAGAAGAAACCAAGGGTGTCACTACCGCGGTGGATGGCGTCAAAAACCCAACTTTTCAAAGGGCAAAATCTTGGTTAATATTGAACGTAGATAGTTGCGGTTTAGACAGATCTTTATATTTTTAACTACTCTACAAGAATCAAGCATCAAAACACAATTCTATGACCAGTGCAACTGACCTATTTGAGAGGGGGGGGAGTTGAACGGAGCATTACATAACTTTTTTCAAGGGGTGCAGACCTATGCTATGCTACAGGTGCGTTACTAAAGAGAGAGTGGTAAAAAAATCCGCTTTTCAGCATTTGGTATTTAATGAAAAGCACCCCTCGCCCCCCATTATTACTCCATTTTTAAAAAATCTTTTTCTTAAACTAACTTCTTCACCTACTGTGCAGTTTTGTGTGTCTTGATTATGTTCATTTATCCGAGTTGGTGTGTTTTCATTCGCACTGATTCGACTTTAGGCACAGCTAAAAGATAAAAAACATAACATGCAAACGTACCTTCAAGGTAATATTCTTCAAAATGGTATCTTCAAGGAGAGAGTGAAGAGTTTGGCAAATTTCTAGGCTCGTCTCCAAAGTCATATTTTTATCTTTGATTTGGGAACTATATAACGAGGCCATGTACCCTTTTTTCGACAAAGCCATCTGTAAAAAAAAAAAAAGATAAGCTGCAAATTAAGTGGCCAAAACAAGAGCTGCCACTAAAAATTAACTTGAGGTGATTCAATGGACGCCATATTTTGTGTCAGAACGGCATGCGATATATCGCATCAATTGGTTCCATTTTTTCAGCTACTCGTCATTTTTCTCCAATTTTGAGATCGCAGTTCTGTTGTCAGGAGACTAAAGCACTCACTTACCAATTTTAACGAAGAAATTCAACGTAATAAAGGCGTGGTTTTCTCTCTGAAAAAACCACGCCTTTATTACGTTGAATTTCTTTGTTAAAATTGGTAAGTGGGTGCTTGAGTCTCCTGACAACAGAATTGCTATCTCAAAATTGAAAAAAAATGACAAGTAGCTTGAAAAATGGAACCGATTAATGCGATATATTGCATGCCATTCTGACACAAAATATGGCGTCCATCGAATCACCTTAAACCAGAGAAAGGCTGCAACAAAAAACAAAAGAAAACTGAGACGTTCCAGGCTCTTGAGCCTCGCTTTCTTGTGAGTGAGTCAATAACAATGTTTCTAGTCTCGATTCTGCAATGACAGCGATCAACGCCTTGTCTTCCTATGATTGATCTCTTTGGTCATATTTTATTTCAAAGGTTGGATTAATACATCCATTATTTCTTTTCTTTGTTTATTTCCAGTCTTTTTCTGAATTGAGCTGTTATTTTGTTTGCTTTCTGCCGATGAAATTGTTTCTCAATACTGTCGTGTCTCATAATGTCGTTTTTCAAGGGGAGGTAAAAGAAGAATGTTGTTTTCGGAATAATGTTATTTTGAGGAGCGATATACCAAAACGCGACTGGCCACGACTTGAAAAAATGAACATTGTTACGGAAAAAAAAAAAGTACTTTGAGAAATGTAATAATGAGACACGACTGTAAATAATCAATGTGGTGATTTTACTTCCGCTAAAATATGCCAATTTTTACTTGGCATTGAAAAAATGCCAAGTGAAAACAATTCAGCAATTCAAAAGATAGATTTGCACTGCATTCATAATTTTAGGCAAAGACGCTTTCAGGCATCATGAAATCAAACTGTTTCTCTACACTTCAGAGCTAAAGTCCCAAAAAATGCCCGTTCCCTGCACAACAGAAAAACTGAAAAATAAGAAAACTTGAACTCTCCGGCTATTTCTTTTCTATGCAAAAATTTGAATATTTTTAACAGAGGTACGTTTTAACGCAACTAAGTTTCACACCTGACAAATTATTGGTCTTTGAAATCAGAAATAGACAAAAAAAACCCATATTAGAGAACAACGCACAACTTCGTAGCCAAAAAGAGAGATGCGCATCTGCTGGATGCATAAAAGTGAAAAGTCAAATTTTCTTCTTTTTCCCCTTACATCGCCTTATTTTGAGTAGCAAATGAAACTCAAAAAAAGAGGGAGGGCGGCCTAATTTGTCACTCTGCATGAAGAAATGCGTCTCTTCTGTGCTGTTTCAGTATTTATATGAACATTTTATTTTTGTATGGAAGAACCCTTCAGGGAAGGAATTAGGAATTAATGCGGAAACTTCAGTCTAATCCTAATCTTACAACGGTTTAAAAAAGCAAAATACAAATTAAAACAGCAATGCAGTGCTTTCAAGTTGATTTTCAGTTCTCTTTATTTCAGATTTTTCATTTCTCAGAGTTTTGGTGTTTATAAAACATAGCAAAAGTTGATTATTTTTAACAGGTACAGTACCCCAGTATGAAATAATTGAATTTAAATATGAGCACTGTCATCCTTCCCCATAATAGAAATTTCTTCAGAGAGATCATTAGAAATTTCTGGAAAATTCATGTGATGATTCTCCTATAAATAAATAAAATGTGAGTAAAAAATACTGAAACAGCGCAATCAAGACCCAACAAGTTGCAAGAATTCTTCGTTCTTCAAAGTCCGATACGAAAATACAGTAAAATAAATTACATACAAATAATCTTACCTCCTTTGTTAAGTAAAGAGATTGCATCAGAAAAAGCTGCATTCCGAAAAGAAAAAGTTAATTTTAATAAAGTCGTTGCTTTAATTCAAAGAAAAAATATCCAGTTAAAGGGACAATTTTTTTCCCTCACATAACTTCAATATTTACTGAGTTTGGTTGCAACTATTGTGATGTTATCAGTTACATTATTTTTAACGCCTTTTGGTATTGATAAATTCCATATTAAATGATTACTGGAGTAATTGATATAATCCGTGCCATGACTATCTGTGGTCTGGTACATAGCCGTAAAAATAAATAAATAAATCTGAAGTCACAATAATAATTTTTGAGTGTCGCTGATTGGACTACTTGACAGGGTTATAAGTTAAAAATTACAGCACAGTGGCGATTTTGCAAGTTGACAACACTGTTTTTCCCCCTTTAAATCCATCAAAATAATCGATTTCAACTAATTGTTTTACATTCATTTAAATAGAGGAAGAACAAAGTTACCAACTCACGAGAATTGCCACTGTTACAGCACATTTTTCTTATCGAAATTTCATGCAAAATACATTGAGCGTATGGAAAACTTCCAAAATTAAGTTTTGAGCGGAAAATGAACGTCCATAGTTTACATTGTAAATAGTAAAGTCAAACTTCTCACTCTTGAAAAAATTGTAATATCGGCTTATGTCGAATCGGCCATTAAACGACAATTTATACGTTACAAAAATATCTGGAGCATGGCTTCACACACATTTCCATCCTCTTCTGACGCACAACATTTTTAACCTTGACAAAAAGAAAATCAACATACAGGAGAGTTCTTGCATCGAAATATAAACCGAAATTGGTCTCCTACTTGATCTGACTTGAGTAGACTTTGGTTTTTTTGTGAGCGGGAAGTTTGAATTAACTAACACAAAAAACGCTATTTTCTGCTTGTGAATTCAATTTGAGAAATTTCAATTCGTCCATCATATTCTACGTAAAATTTCAAAAAGGAAACATGCACTGAGATGCTAAATTTCGTACCCTGTCTACTGGTCCTATTCACAAATTTTCTGGAGTTTACTCACTGAAATCAGTTGCGGTTGGACCAAAACCAAAAAAAATCAGCACCATTCAAAGAGTAAATATAAAAGGAATATTCAACCAAACCAAGTACCTTATTGGTATCCATAGAATTAGAGGACAAAGCACCAACAGGTTCACGAAGCATGAAATTTTGAACTATTTTAGACTTCTTTTTCAATTCCTCCGTCATTTCCTTATTGTGCTCCTCAAGGAACTCAATCTTTTCTAAGTACTGGGCGTTCCGCCTTTGCAATTCCACAATCCGCTCGATGAGGGTCTGCTTATCTGGTTCCATCTGTAAAAGCAAATAAAGCCCATTTAAACATCTTCATTATTCGTGTATCTTTCAGAATATCAGATAAAGTCAGATCAAAATCGACAAAAAAGGGCATTTCTTGGCTGCAGTGCTTCATACGTACGAACGTGTTTTTACATATGAGTCAGAAATGGAGATGTTGCATGTGTGAGGGATTTGCGATTTGACCATTGATTCTTATGTATAAGTTCGCGAGAAACACGATGGTGCAACTGGTTTTCTCTGACATTATCTCCCAAGCTCAAAAAAAGCTCTCAAAGTGAGGCCAAAATGGAGGGGATATCCCACCCTACCCTGAGAGTCCACCTCTACATCAAAACAAACTCTCCATGCAAAGATAGGGAGCAAATACATTGGCAGGGTTGCCACTTTATTTGGGGACTCCATAACTGAAAACACAGCATCACTGCTAATGTATTTGCTCCCTATCTTTGCATGGAGAGTTTGTTTTGATGTAGAGGTGGACTCTCAGGGTAGGGTGGGATATCCCCCCCATTTTGGCCTCACTTTGAGAGCTTTTTTTGAGCTTGGGAGATGATTTCAGAGAAAACCAGCGGCACCATCGTGTTTCTCGCGAACTTTTACATAAGAATCAATGGTCAAATCGCAACTCCCTCACACATGCAACATCTCCATTGCAGTTCCTGAATGAAGTCCAGTTCTCTGATGAGAAAATTAAACCTGACAGGAAATGCAGCAACGTGAATGCAATTAAACTTTTAACGACTTCCAATTCTGGTGAAAGATGTTAGAGACTGAGAAAATGGATTAGAAATTAGCTTCTGGAAAGGGTCAAAGAAAGGAAGACTTACTCGAATACTGCCAGGGTTAGAAGACAATGCTTGAGATGTGTCTGTGAGCGAGGTGCAGGAGGACGCCCTCGAGTCTTGGCACAGAGAGTTGCTACCGCTGCCCCCTCCATCACTATGTTCCGTCAATTGCTTTTTTAACTGCTGAAGCTCCCGAGTCAGTTCTCTGATCGTTGCTGCATTTTTGCGCCTAAGTACCTGTTGGAACCCATAATCAAATTTGTTTTTTATTTACTTACTCATATAATTACAAAAAGGACAATCTTCATAAAACAAACAAAAGTTAGGTTGTTCAGGTTTGGTTAGGTGTTTTCAAAAAATTCAAACCAAAAAAGACGTATTTTTCTTCTCTTTGGTTGAAAAAATATGTCACACCTTAATTGAGTTGAAGTTTTCCTGTGTATTTCGGTAGTTTGAAATTTGTTCCAGAAAAACATTGGGCGATGCATGGAAGGACTGAATAATGCTCTGATCGACAGAATTTTTTTATAATTTGTTCCTATCCAGAATGAATGGAATCGAATTTCAGCAGTTGAAGATATGGCTTCAAAAGAGCATCTATCGTATTCAGAAAACCTTAATAATCGAATAATGCCAGGAAATCAAATCGGACCAGAAATCTACAAAACATCAGATAGAATATTTTCTCTCCATTGAGTACTGTAAGCACTGGCGTGGAATGTACAGAAAAAATTGCACCAAAGCCAAAATATACGACTGTTTGTCACTTTAAGTGAAAACAAGAAAAGTTGAAGGATTTTTCAAGGACGTTTGGAAAAATTCATGAAATTTCAAATTTAGGTTTGTTGGATGCCTCGTTTTGGCTTTTCACCATTTACAATTTCTATTAAAATATACCTTGAATGTAAGCCAGAACCTATTTGGTATTACCGAAAAATATAATAGGAACATTTGATACTAGGAAAATTGAAAGTACGTACCACATTTTCTGATTTTTGTTCAGCGAGCTGTTTTGATATTTCTTCATACCGCTGAGTGTGTTTTTCGATTTGATGACTTAGGATTTTGCTTTCTTCTGAGCGTTGACTTTTTACATCTTCTAATTCCGCTTTTATTTCATTGACTTTACTTTGTTCTATTTCTAATTCTTCATTCTAAAACATACAATATTAAATTACTAACAATAGGTATTGAACGTGTATATGTTTATGAGTCATTGATATATGACTTGTTAATGACAAAATTTTGATTAATCAACACAACTTACGCAGAATTTGATCATGAAGTTGCGTTTGTTTGTTTTGATTTAAACAATTGCAAATAAATTATGCGGTACATCGCTTTTATCGCAAATCGATAAGTTGAACAACTGCCGATGGGAATGGAGAGGCCTGAACTATGTTTCTGTGACGACACACTAGGGGATGAAACTCAGCAGCGGTTTGACATGTGTTTTAACTTATGGGAGAATACATAACGTGTTCTTTTTGGGCCGATATCTTCTCAGGGGTTGATCTGATGCAAAAATTCATAAGAGGATGAAACTTTGGAAGGACAATAAAATATTACTTCAGAAAACTGATTAATCCATAAATGACATTGTCTGATAAGCGGGAAATGAAAGAAAAATCGTTACTCTACTGGACTCAAACACACCGCTCATACAATTGTGGCAGATTGAGAATCTGTCTGATTGGTCGAATCAGCAACCGCCTCACTCATTGATGCTCCGACGACCCAAAGATGATTGTTGTCGGTAAATACCCACCAGTTTGACATCATAAAACTAAGTAGTTACAGCCTCTCCATTACCGTAGGCAACTAATGAATAACACTAGCATGACGTATGGCACACCCACTAAATCAGTCCAAGCGGCAAGTTAAAAAAGAAGAAAAAAAAGGTACAGGCCCTCAAAGTAGAATCTCTTGTAGATTCTTAGAAATATAAAGTGATGCAATTAATAAAATAATTAGCAAGGGTAGTTTTTTACTGACCTTATTAGAATTAAAAATGTCAGAAAAATTTGTATTAATCAGGCTGATGTAAAGAACTTACTCCTTACCTTGGCTTTGAGAGCAGAAAAATCAGATTGAAGTTTGACATTTTGAGCAGTTAATCGTTCTGTGAAATCTAGCATTTCTGCCTCCCTTTTACGGCAGCTTTCCATATCGATCAACAATTCTTCATTGCTTGTTCTCAATGTTATTGCCTCCGTTTCCAATGATGCTGTTTTTTTCTTCTCTCTAGAAAAGTTTCATTACAATTCATGAACGAGCAAAGGCAAGAGGATATTTCCATCTCCTTTGCAAACATGCTTCGACGAAAATGTAGTCACTTTAATTCAACATCTTGAATGTTGAAAAAGCGCACTGTAGTCAATTTTACAACCTGGAGTGGAACTCAAAGTTTGTATCGAAATGTTCAGTGAATTACCTTCATTCAATCTAAAAAAATCACACAAAACCTCAAGGAAAAACTTTGAATAGTTTTCCTGAGCAAAAACAAACATATTTTGAGGTTTTTTGGCATTGCAGTTGGAAAACATTCTTTTCAACTTTAGCCATTGATTAGGCACATTACTGGAATATAAAAGTTTATACAAACTAGCTTTAGATCTCAGTAAAACTTATTCACACAAAAATCTGATAGAGTTAAGCTAAACAATCACACCTGTATTGCAGTGTTTCGAAATCTCATTTTCTAATTTAATTTTTTTAAGGAAAATTTACCAACAACCCCACTTGAAAATTTTCGCAATTTTTCTTGCCCATGAGAAGGTTTTTTCCACAAAATTTAAAGTGAAAATGTTAGTTGGTTCCATATTAAAAAAGTAAAATAGGAGGTGAGATTTTAAAACGTTGCAATGTATACATGACTTCTTTTGCTTCACTTTGTCCAATTTACTTAGTCAAATAACTAAGTCGAGAAAACTTCTGCAATAATCATTCAATATTTTCAGTGGCAAATGGCTCACTTCATTTGAGATACAAAATTCCGAGTGATTCATTGGATCGTTTGCTGATAGCAGTGGTTGGTAGTTGTGCTTCTTGATCTACTTTGATTGGCGAGGCGTACATGTTGGAAAAAAAACGTAATTAGAGGTAAAGAAAGAGCGACAAAGTAAAATCCCAGAGAAAAATTAACTTACTCTTCTAGTTCCTGCTTCACAGTCCGCAGTTCTGACAGTTTCGATTCTAATTCTACATTTTCTTGCACCTCTTTGTCCATCAATTGCTGCATTGTGCTCAGTTTAACTTCTAATTCTAATTTCTCTTTTTCGATGCTACAAACCTGTGAAACACAAGAACAAGATTAATTTACAGTTTCGTGAAAATTACATGCGACTGCCATTGACGCTTCATCAGTTTCAAAACTTGACTGACTTTACGACTGATTTTCTCGTAAACAAAACAAAAAAACAAAGAAATTTAACTAACAGTTTTGAGAGAATGTAGTACAACCAAAAAATGTATGACATCAGAACTGTCTTGATTAAGCTTTCTCCAAAAGTTGATTAATTCAAGTATGAAAAATAGACAAATTCTCTAGCTATGTTGTATGACAAATATTCCTGTTCTGTGGTTTCAAAGTCAACAAAAACATATTCAAGTCATGTGACAGTATTTAGCAGAAAGAAACCAAGACTATTACATTGTTTTTAAACTTGTGCAAAACTTCCTTTCTCTGGGAAACGCTCCAAGGTTCAAACAGTTTTAATTTTCCCACCAAAAAATTGTTAATTTTAATTAAAACAAATCCTGTAAGTTTCATTATCATACGTCCATTTAGTTTTCTTTCCGGCAAAGAAGAAGATAGACGATTTTGAAAACACTGCAATGGACTTGGTTTCTCTTAGCTAGGCACTGTCCATTTATGCAAAGGTGGTTGATTGTGTCTCACAGCAATAAAGATGAAAGGCTAACAACTGACAATAAAGCTACATCTCCAATAGCTTGAAGATGTTGAAGCAAAAATGAAATGACTTTAAAATTTGAAAAAAAGGGGAAATGATTATTTTGCACCTGGTATACATGTGCACAGTGCTACCCATGAGCTAATGTTGAATGGAAGGCAAGGTTAAATAAAAAGAAAGGAGGTTGGTACAATCACCCATTTCGGCGCCATGTTGATGACGTACTAGTGGGATCTCGAGTAGCACTAAGTTTGAATTGCGACGTCTGGTACATCTGCAGACTGATGCTATTAATAACAATTTCTTATGCACACATTATTTATTGTAACAGAATATGATAATATAAATTAATTTAACTCATTTGAAACATTTTTTTGGATGTGTTTTATTATTATTATCACAATATTTTAAATTGCTTCTTTTCTCCAAAGCCCCAAAATTTTCAGGGGGTTGCGGTCCCCATAATTTTGGGTTAACAGGAGTCATGTGGCACATCAATAAAGAAGTATTGCTCTCCTCTCTTAGGAGACTATAAGATTTTGAAAATCGGATAATTTTAACACTTACAGATTCCAATTGAAATTTGCGCAAGAAGGGTTCCAAAATTCCCCTCAATTCCAAATGATTGGGAAATAAGGGAAAAGTGCATATAGAGCAAAAAATTCTTGTTTTTGGCCATAAACTTTGAATCCAAAATCAACAAATACCCTACCTATTTGAAATATGCGAGAAACGAGGGGGGGAGGTACCGGGTACCCCCCTTAACATCCCCCAAAAATGGGGTTTCGGGGGGCTGAAATATTTTCATTGAGTTCTTTGGGGTCAATTATCCCGTGAAAATTTTCGTCCCAAGCTCAATTCTCAGCCGTTTCCGAGAAAAAGATAGTAGACTGGTGCTTTGGAAACCACAGGTAGCATATCAAAACAAGTAGTTTGAACTGCACGCCAGATCGAGGTCCCACTAGTACGTCATCAATATGGCTGGATGTACCAACCTCCTTTTAATCAACCTTGAATGAAAGGAGGGTGATAATTTTACCTGCTCTGAAAGACATTCATTAGTTTCTGTAAGCTTCTTAATCTCTGTTTCTGTTTGTTGGAGCTTAGCTGATAAAGTCTGAATCTTCTTGTCCAAATCTTCCTTCTCTGCCCGCGATAGAATTAATTTTGCTTGTTCTTCTTTCAATTGTTGTTCTGGTATTAAAAAAAATATCATGATTAAATCATATGAAATAATATGTCAGTCACACTTGATGCAGAGTTATTGCGAAAAATTTGAAATGACTCATTCAAACCACAAACTTTTGAGCCCAACATCGAAAGAGTTTGTCTGTGTCACCAGGGTGTCTACTAAAACAGGCTGGCCAAAAATCAGTACTTATACAGTACTTTTTCACTACATTCCTAAGAAATTCAGTACCTCCTCATCAGAAAAATTCAGTACTTTTTTGGTACCTTCATTTGACAAAATTTGAAAAATTTCAAAAATTTAAATTTCTCGCTCAAATTGTGACAAAAATGACCAAAACTGAGAAAAATTCCGGGCCTTCTTGCGGAATTTACGCACTTTTGCAGGTCTTCCGGACCGCCCTTGAAAAATCAGTACTATTTCCGGACTTTCCGGACTTATAGACACCCTGGTGTTACAGAAGAGAGCAGTAACTCTACTAGAACGTGAGCCGTGCCTAGCACCTGCTTTTATGCACTCAGGAATGTTGATATGAACTCTTTGGTTGGTAATTCAAAGTTGCTGTGATGTTCCTTAAATAGCCAGAGTGCTCATATCAACATTCCAGCGTTATCATTAGATTCTTAAAATCTCGGAATGTTGATTCAGTAACTTCTGTTTTCCATGTGAAAATCAGAAGATAGAAAAAACCAAGGCAACTAACTGTCAGTAAGTAAAAGATTACAAAACTACAAAACATTGTACGTAAAATATAAAAGTTCAAAATAATAAACTAGGATTCGAAAAATTCATTTATGTGAGAATGAATTATATGATAATTGTTTAGGGTAAACAGTAATTACTCATCATGTTGAAGAAAAGAGAGAACATTCCTGGTGATATTTGATGTTTTTATTTAAATTTTTCAAATTCATTAGAAAAAATGAGCAGGTAGGTCATTGTAAATAAATGCGTAGAGCACATTGGCAATTACGGTGTTTGATGAAAAAAAAGGAAAGAAAAAACGCTTTAAAAGATAGGGAACTGACAAACCTAGGACAAAGGCTCGATTTTCTTGTGAAATTTTAAATTTTTTTATGCTGGCTTCAGCTTCCAGTTTCACTTGTTCTGCTTCTTTTTTTGCGGTTTCAATTGTACTAGTTACTTCATCGAGCTTACTCTGCGTTTCCTGAAAAAAGGAACAGGATTCAAAGGTTTGCTACATCAGTCAAAAAAATTCCCCGGCAAATCCTAAGTTCCTCCACAAACGCCTTATTTAGGGATTAAACCTGCATTTGTGGCTGATACCTGTTTTCCATTTAATTTTGCAGTGCAATTAAGTGAATAGCCTTACATTTTAAAAAAAAAAAAAACAATTATTTTTAATACCTCATCGTAAAAACACTTACATGCATAGGGAAATGGCAAATGACATTCTGTGATGAACAGAGTTTTTTTTGTAATATTTCCATACTGAACACTGAATAACACATAAATTTATAAAAATAGAAAATGTCTGTAGAAGGACACAAAAAAATGCTGACACTGATCAAAATACAGTCGATTCGAAGGGACAATATCTTCTTGTTTTACATAGATTGGAGTGGACAGATGGGAGCGACGAGAGAATGAGGAACGATTTTATCTCTACGTTCAAATGAGGTATGGTGAGAAGTTCATGAACTTGCCAACTAAGAATCATGCTTTCCTACGTTCATCATCAGTGAGGAGGAAACTACAGTTTAGGACAACTAACCGTCTCGTTTTTCGCTTCAAGGTGATTCAGCAAAGTTTCTGACGTGGTAAACTGGCATGCGATACATCTCATTGATCATGTTAAAAAATCTCGACAGATTTTGAATTTTTAGCTAAGAAGAGGACGTTAGCCCCTGTGAATGAGCCTAAAGAATCATTCTAAACCAAAAAATTAGCAAAATTCAGAAAAATAAAAGCAGAATATCATTTGGAAAAAAATCTTGCATTTGATGCCGTAATCGACTTCTGTATCGAATGCAAGGTTTTTTTTCAAACAGAATTCTGCTTTCATAACTCTAAATTTTGCTACTTTTTTTTATTTAGAATGATTTTTCAGGTATATGCGCAGGGGCTGCCAGCCTTTTCCTGGCTAAAAATTCAAAATCAACCGAGGATTTTGGCATAATTGATGCGATATAAATCGCATGCCAGTTTGACAACACTAGGAAGCTTGGCGAATCACATTAACTTTTTCTCACTGGCATTCTAATCAATGAATATTTTCGCCAATAAAAAGGACCATCTACTGGATCTGAATCAGATCTATCTACTTAAACCAACTCAATTTTTTTTTTTTTTAAGAATAGGTACTTTATAACAATTTAGCACTGTGAGATGGTGTTCGAAAGACTTCCTTGACTTTAGAGAGAGAGAAAGAAAAACATTTATCTCTTACCTTATGGCTCTCTTGCTCTTCTTTCAATTTGTTCTGTGTCTTTTTTAACTTGTTATTATTAGAATTAAGGTCAGACTTCAGCTGTTCTATCTCATTATGAGCTACTCGAACTTCTGAACACTGAAAGAAGAAAATAATGGTACATATTTTATTTACTGATATAACAGGTACACAACTGAAAATCCATTTAATACATATTCAGAATTGTCACAAAGAAAACTGAAATCCTCTGAAAAGTTTCTGTACAGTTCCCTGATTTTTGGCACTATGCGGGGCGGTTGAAAATCGTCACTTCCAAACCAGAATGCTCAAAATTCGTTGTTCGAAACTTCAGACACACTCTAGAAAGTAAATTAATGGGATTTAATACTTCTCCTCTGACACCATTGTTCTTTTCTTGGACAGCTCCCAGTTTTTACTGACTTTAAAATTCCCAGACATTTTCCAGGATTCCCTGACTGTGGCAACATTGAAAATTATGGGTTTGGATAGAGTCCCTTTATGCCCTGAGTTAAGACAACTCACTTTTGGTTGGGCCAGGGTTGAGCTGAAAGTGGCCTAAAAAAAATCCAATTCTGATTGGTTCTCGCTCATGGAGGCCGAAACGAGTGCACCAAGATGGCGGTACCTCGAATGTGAACAAGAATAATGAAAATATTACCTAATTGTGGTTTTTCAAGAGTAAATTGTTATTTTCATCGGTCCAAAATGAAAATAGATTAAGAAATTATTCACAAACCAATCTCATTTTCTTTTTAACTGATCAATTTGTTGATGTTGTTGTTTTTGTGTGATAGACATCGCAGGATTCCTGATCCTTATCCCTCAATATCGTCCGTTTGGATGCACTCGTTTCGGCCTCCATGGCCAGCCAAGGCCGGCTGCCAGTCAGCTGATAATCGAGTTGTCTTAACTCTGGGTATAAAGGGACTCTCGGTTTGGATACAATAGATATAAATCGGGGGGCAGAAATTTTTTGCGCTCCTTAGACACATTACGTACACTTCAGTTTCACTCACCTTATTGTCATACATTTGCGAATACTTCGCTTTATCGGAAATTAACTGCTTCATGTTTGCGTGCGCATTATCTCTTTCTTTTGTGACGTCTAGTAACTTTTTTTGAAACGCTTCACTTTTTTCTCGAAGCTTGATGACGTCCATTTCACCCTTGGCGTACTTCATGACGCTGAGCTCTTTTTCATGCTTCATTGTTTCCCATTCTTTTTTTAGCTGCAAAAAAGAAAACAGAAACTGATGCCTTTAAAAATATTTTGAAACGGCCAAAAGCCCATTAACTCCACGGTTCACTTTTCCCAAAGACATTGAATCACGTAGACCGTGCATCCGGCTCAGTTTTGTGCAGGCGAAGCATGGCAAGTTTCTTGGAACACCATGAAGGGCGGGAGGGGAGGGGGAGAAAGCGTGTGTCCCAAGCACTCGAAGAGACTGCAAAGAAGCCATGGAGAATTCATTCGCCCGCTCGGTTTTTCGCTAATAACTCGTTTTGAGTCCATTTTCAGACAAAATTTCTACGGATCAAAGTTGGAGAGCATGTAATTTTACAACCAAATTGCAAAGTTTCACTTTTCCAAACCAATTACAAACCGAGAAAAAAGCCTCACAGTCAGACAAAAATTCATCGGGGCCGCTACTGCGCAAGCACAGATGTGCGCAATTGGGATACAGGAACTCATCAATGCGGGTAGGTGCAAACACTCATCGGCGTGCGAATTTTTAAAAGTTGTCTCGCCTTCCGTGACACAGGATACACGGTCTACGTTATTTAATGTTTTTGACTATTCCCTTGGAAGCTATCTACAAATTATGTAACACAATTTGTTTCGAAAAGAAGGAGAAAGGGGGTTGATCAAGTTCTGCAGTAGTAAGAACTACTTACTGATGTGAGTGACATGCCAAATTGGATTTTTTTTATCTTTCTTTTTTTCCGAGCTGCCCATTTTCGGAAACTGACCTTAACAACCTATGTAGAATACCTATGATGTACATTGAGAGAAGATACTGCAGACTGCGGACGAGAAATTAGTTGACCAATATTTTCCGGCCATTTTCTGGTTTTCTTACTGATGAAATTATTTCACTGCTTGTTCTTACAATTTTAGTTTCCATCTTTCTTTGGCAAAAATAGGAGAATAGGATAAGTGGAGGCAAGTATTACGTTTTTTTTTAAGAGAAGGGGAATATAAAAGATGTTTTCATTTTAACTTTTTTCAGTTCCAAGACAAAAAATACACTTTCATATTCTTCCCTTTTTTGATTGAGATAGCATTTGATGGTTTTTTAATGATAGACTGTTGAAAAATTTTCATCTCTATGTTTCAAAATAGAGCAGGATTATGAAGACGAAGTGAGGTGCTAAAGAGCAAACCCACCTTTTCATTCTGCATTTCTAATTCCTGTTTAAATTTTTCATAAGATTTAGCATCAACTTCTTGCTGTCGCTTGGCGTTTTCATTGATCTGATTGATTTGTTTCTCCTGTTGTTCAATTGTTGACAAGAGTTGAGACTGTTGGGCTTTGAATGAATTCAATTCGGATTCTAAAATTGATAACCGATGCTGAAGTCTGAAAAAAAGAAAAAACTTGTAAGTAAAAACACGAGAAGAAAAAAATTGTGGGCTATTATAATGTAAATGGAAAGTGAGACATTTTTTCATAAAAAAAATGACTCGTGTCATTTAGTGTTGCGTACTTTATTTTCTACTTTAATTTTTTTTTTTTAAACTACAGCATTCAACAGTGCATCCATACCGTAATTTTTTTTTCCATCATAAAAATGATATCTTAGAACCTACAAGGGATAAAAACATATATTCTAGATGGTTAGTACAGGATTAAGATAAAGAAAATTTAAATGCTTACTGTTCGTTTTCTGATTTATAGTGGCTGCATTCGACCTTCAAATTTGCATAGTCTTGAATATTCATGGAATTTATTTCGTCGTGTGGCTCACCGACCGTTTGCTGTTTCTGGGGGTCCTGATCTAATTCTGACAGATCCTCAAGGGTTCTTCTTAAACCTTCAGAATTTTTAACTGGTGATAAATTTAATACTGAATTTTCTGCTTGAGCATTATTCAGGTCGATTTCGTCCGCTCTATTACTTCCTGTGCTGTTCTCTCCTTCACCTTCTGAGCTTGATGCATTCTTTTGCTCATTAAGCATTACATCCCCTTCAGAATGCCTCAGTAATAAGTTCAGTTCATCTGTGACATCCATATATTCTTTAGGATTGTGACTCTCTAATACCAAGTCATTAATACTATTATTGAAATTATTTAGAGTAAGAGCAGTTCTGACATTCTCACATGACTGGGCAGTTGCTTCTATTAGAGCATCAGAATTATTCAACATTGGAATTTTATCGACACCAGGTGATTCGCATACTGCACTATTCACGGTTTCTGAGACCATTCTCGTTAAAGTACTGCTCAAACTTGACGTTGTGTCAATTAAAGCAGGTGAGTTGATGGAATTCTTGTAGTTCACACTGTTGAGATCTGCATATGGAACATTTGAGTCTAGCTTTTTTTCTAAGCATTCTGTGTCACTTTTCATACACTCATCCACACCATTCTGCTCGGTCGAAATGGTTAGCATTTCTCCAGTCTCCTCGGAGAACGAACAGACACTTCTCCCCAGTTCCAAGTTTTTTGGTATGGAAATTGGGTTGTCTTTGGTAAGCTTACATAACGATCCATTTTCAATGGAGGTGGACCTCGGACTATTTTCGTTAGAATCGTCGGCCGCTTCACCACAAGTCTGCTGAGACAAAGATTTCTTAGCTCCTCCTGTCGGAGAGTCAATGACACCATTCAGAAACGGATGATGCTGGCCATCCTCTGTAAATTCGAACACTCCTCCGTCATTCCGAACAATTTTTTCGACAGATACTGGTGCGTTAACATTCATTAAAGCGAAATTGTCTCCCAAAGCTATCGCACTAGAGCAGATAATCATGGAGGCTCTTGGTGGATTCAAGGGCTACAGTAAATTTGAACTTTGATTGCAACTTTCCACATGACAGGTTAAATTAAATTAGGGTACATGATATTTACAGAAACGCTTCGGATATAACTGAAATTTGGGCTCAATGAGTAACCCAAGAAGGAGATCCATCTCTTCTTGAGAATCCTTTTCACGGCATTATCCTGACAGATGACTGCAACAAAGGATCAGAAAACATTAATTGTCATAGATCTAGATGCAAACAACATTTTCTTTGGATAGGTAGTAATTTCACTACTAGCCAAAGTTTGGAGTCCAGTTCAGGCGGAATAAGATAGATTTACGTTCCTACCCACGACAAGACTTGCTTTTTTGTCCTCTTCATCCTGATAAGAACCACTGGTTCGGCACGGAAGGGTAAAATCTGTTCTACTATATTCCCTGGAAAAAGATTTTTGTTCACTTAGAATATTTGACGTTTCACAATTCAAAGCAAAACAAAGAGGACAATTTCCCTGCCTTTGCTCCTTGCTTCAAAGGCATGAAAGAATGTTCCAGTTAAAGCTATAGATGGTTTGCTACAGGAAACCAGGGAGTGATAAGGCAATGGCAAACATACCAAACCTCAGTTCTCGGTTGCAGTGTTTGAAAATTTCTTCTTGGATTTTGTTATCTCAAGAAAATACTGCTGGAGATGATTGTACATAACTTTAAGGTAAAATTGTTGAAAGAACAAAGAGAAGTTACACTGAATTTTGGGCAAAAAAGTGGGTAAATTGTGACAGGAGATTTGCAATACAACCAGCTGAAATACGTAATTTAATACCATCATCATTGATAGGGCTTTCTTTCGACCCACTGATGGGACAGATTGCAAAGAAACAAAACAGTAGAGGTGTCGTTAGCTAAATTGACACTTGTTTACATTCTGCTTGCAAATAATCGTGATGCAATTTTGAAACAGCCGAGGCGGATCGACCGTAGGTCAATCGCAAGCGTGGTCAATCCTTGATCCCTATTGGACAGCTATGTTGGGGTCCCTAAAAACAGAGTGTAAACAAGTGCAAACTTAGCTAACAACACCTCTCAGTAGTTGCAACTACAATCACCACCCATCTTGAACGAACAAATCAAAGCAGGCCCATTCCATCAGCATTGCTAGGGTCAAGTGAGAGATGAAAGTAGCCAAGATTGTATTGATTCATGTGGGTAAAGAGAAATACCCTTGGACTCAAACTTTGCAATGGATGATGAAAGTTTAAATTAATAGGCTTCTTAAATCATTTACGCAAAACCTAATTTATAAAAGTTAATGCTTTGAATCCTATGCGCTGAGCCTACAAACCTCACAGGGCTAAATATACAGGGCTATGATTTCTTGAAACTAACTCCACCATTGGTTCAGCAACGTCAACAGGTGTTTGTGGTCCGGATGCACAGGGAATGATTACATCCAAGATGATTATCTTGACAATACACCAAAAATAAAAATAGCAATAGTAGAAATTTAATATTTTCAGGGAGACTGATGTCATGAAAAACTGTCATGCTGTCGTATTGTGGAAAAATCAATACAAGATACAATTTCAGGACAAGTACGTCTGTAACCCGCTTTAAAGCGCTTCATGGTCTGGAATGAAAATTAAGGTCATTCTCACAATCATCATTGATTAACTGGTAGATAGAGTAGATGCAAGGAATAATCATCAATTTTAAAAATATTTGCCTCAACATACCTGAAATATGTTGACTTCTTATCACTGTTGAACATTCAGATTATCATAATGATAAAGGACAGAACGAATTAAACGTAGCTCTTACTGATAACTGAGACAGGAACTAACTGAAATCTTTTAAATAAAGGAAAAAAACAAATAATTTGGAGGATATCATGGAATTTTTGTGGCACACTTAGTTTACCAGGATTATTTTTCTGGAGAAATGTCAAATTCTGATGGACCTCACGGTTGGAGGGGGTTGGGGAGGGAAACAGCTGTTCGTAGTAACAACTTTTGCCACTACTCCAGCAGCGCTCGTTCAGTTCCTTTTGTTTTTATAATTCTTGTAGGTTATGTTTGTGGTGTTTGACTGGTTTGACGTTTGAACCCAGGAACTTTCTGCATTTTGCAGTTTCTGTGGAAAGAACGGAAAATATCAAGAGAAAACAACAAACATTATGTGCTGTGTTCTCGTATGATCGGAAATAGTTGTGCATGCTAGTTTTAAGAATTGAAACCTGAACGTTAAATCATTAAAATTGAAGATATTCGCAGAAGAACAAGGTGCCCCTTTCGGAACGATAATTCCAGGTGAGACTTTCTGGTGGACACATCATTGCGACTAAAGCAGCCTAGCTCTTGTACTTAGTCTGTATCCAAAAACCCAGATTTTTCAGTTTTACTTCTTATCTAATCACGAGTCATTGGCTGTTGAGTGCCACAACTGGTAGCACACTTTTTTCTCATGTGCAATTGTACGTCCAGCTCTGATTTTATTTTCTCATTTTACCCAACACCGTCTTGTTCACTGGCTGTTGAAGGTTTGATTTTTAAGCTGGTAAGGTGGCGCAATCATCTTCCGAGGTAACTTGATCGGATCTCTTTGAAACATTGTATTGTTACCTTCGGTCGTCAGCTTGTATACAAGGTACACTCTACTACAGGTATGGACAAATGGGATGCCGAAGTGGCAGCGCTGAGAATATAGCCAATCGAGTGACGTCGCAAGTCGCACCATCTTTGCCACACAGTTCAAAATGAGATTCTGGCAGCTTCAATAAGCTATCAAATGAATTTAAAAGAATGATAAAACTCAAAATAATGATAAACTTAAGTAAGAACACGAAGAAATAACATGAAATTGACGAGACCCACTCTCAGAACAGAAAGTAAATAAGTTTCAATATGGCGTTGCAGTCGGACCATTGGACGCTGCGAAATCGACGCGGTTCAACGACTTTATAAAATTCCATTTGTCCATACCTGTATAGAGTGTACCTCGGCTTGTACAGGGGTAGGATGGGCATTTTCCCAGCCCTGCGCCTTTGAGGTGGCGAAAACTGCTCATCTGCTGTTTCTCAGGTGAAAAACTGAGCGAGAAAAAGAACATTGTCACTTTTTTGCCCGGCCTTGCAATAACCTGAAATGACGATCCTGGACGTGCACCCCAGGCTTGCGAGCCGTAAGCGCCTTGATGGTTCATCACAATCAGAGTCGGACATTTCAGTGAGACATCTAGATTATTTTAAGAGAGTGTAACGTTCCACTGACGTCGGGTTTTTTTTTCAGGGTGATGATGGATCATCTTCATTTAGGTTGCACTCGTCAAAATTTCATGATAGCAAGCTGATTGGTCTGTCAAGCAATGTACGAGTGTAGGCAAAACAATCAAAAATGGTCCTGCCTCCGAACATTAAAATCCTTGAAGGTATAATATTCTTTCTTTACCAATGTGACTTTTTCTTAAAACTTTAGGAATCATTTGGCGAGCAAACCTTATATTTTAGTGCAATCACCAACTTTCCTTGAGCCATAAAAATTGTTGATAATGCCGCAAAAACCCAAAGAAACCAAGAAAAGAACATAAACAAAAAATTACCAATTTTTTTGTACCTTATTTGAAGCAGTGAGTACAAAAACACACCAACTCGGTAACTCAAAAATGCTCAATTTTCATTAAAGAGAGTGAGTTTTCTTAAAGGTCATTGAAGTTAACGCATCTGTTCCAACTTGGACCTTTAAAGTGTCCTTAAATACTTGTCTTTTGTCACCACAAATCTTTTTCTTGTGCTAACTTCCTCAACTACTGTGCAGTTTTGCGAGGGTCTTGATTATTTTCATTTTTTCGAGTTGGTGTGTTTTTGTTCTCACTGATTCATTTGGCCAGGACCCTGCTTTTTCAGGTTTCAAAGTCTGATTTTTAGGCTCACTTAGTCTGTGACACTAGATTAAGTTTGGAAACTGCTTACATTGTTCGTTGACCTAGTGGTCTGCCTCCCCATACGCTATAACATCAATGTTTGCGCGCCTCAAAATTAAAGGAGCTGGGCCATCGTGGCGCCCTAAAAAGTCAATGCACCCCATCTATTTTTTCAAACTTGCAGTTTCATGCGCCATGATGCTTATGCAAAAATTTAATTTAGCTCCTAAAAATTGTAAATGGATCCTAATAACTAGGCCTTTCGGTCAAGGTGGCTCTTAAAATGTTTGGGAGAAGGCAGAACGCTGCTCATGCCTGTGCAAGTAGTTTAAGTTGGTTAGTCGATCATCCATCAAGTTTGTTTTATCATCCAGTAAGATGACTCAATACTTAATTTTTATTTTCCCTTATCAATTCCCATTTTATTCTCTTTTCAAAAGAAAACTAGCTTTTAAGTATCCTACCATTTTAACCAAAGTAACGAAGCATGTATTTTTTTCCTCGCCATTGCAATTGCTAATGTAGCAATAGGGTAAAAAAAAGAGTAAGTAAGTAACAGAGACTTATACATTCATCGGATTATTGTAAGTCGGCCTTCCATGATGTAGTGGTTGTACTGCTTGCCCCATAATCAGAAGGTCTTGGGTTCAATTCTTGGCCAGGTGACCTGAGTTTGACGGTCTCAGGCGAAAGTCATTTGGGGCCGGGTGTAAGGGAACTGGGATATTGAGCGCGGAACTAGCCTCGAGGGCTGTTTGAAAATTGATAAAAAAAAAAATCAAAGATTTCCCGGGGAAGTCCTTTGCAAATTTGCTAGTAATATCAATCTCGGTGGGTTACTGGTTTGTAGGTAGTCTGCAAAATGATCTTAAAAAAGCACGCTTTCCCCAGTCAATTCCGATTTCATGTATGTCAAGTTTTTGCCCTTTTCATATTTTCTTTCTCTGAATCTATTGTCTTCCTAGGAAAAAACGTCACACTCTATAACTGCACAACCTGCAAAAAAACCTTCAAAAGCAGAGATCATTGTCGTTACCATCAGTACTGCCTCTCTACAGGATTAAAACCTTTTTCATGCTCTACCTGTGATAAAAAGTTTTCCAAAAAGAGTCACCTTACCTACCATGAACTTTCTCATACAGGTTAGTACAAATTAGAAACAAATATTCCTTTTTTATTCTATCGTTAATTAATATTCAATAGATTTTATGCATTAAAAATGCATCGAAGGTGAAATTAGAAAATAGCCTTTTTCAATCTCCATTTTTCAAATTCTCGCACCTATCAGATTTGTTTTAAGAAGGACGTAAGAAGTTCAATGTTCAGAATTTTCACAAAACATCGCTCATACTGAGAATAAAAACCATGAAAGTTTTCGGAAAATACTGTTGAATATTTTTAAATTTAAGAAAGATGTACAGCCAGAAGTTTTAAACGCTACAAACCAATAAAAGTGTGTGTGCAGTTTTATCATTAATCCATGCACATCTAATTTGGTATAAATTGTTATTGGCAATGAGAAACATGCCCCTAAGTTGTGCATACACAATTAACAAGAGATCCCAGTTCAGAGCTTGTTTTTACTGAGATGTAAGGGCTTTTTTCCTGTAGCAGAGGTCAATTTGTGACCTTTGTTGGGAACAAAGACCTTCTTCCTTAGAAACAAATTTTACTGGTTAGTAATTTTGTGGTGGAAAAATCAGAATTTTAGTTTCTAACATAAAACGCTCTGAAGTATTCGGAAGTAATGTTCGTGAGTGACACAGATCATTTTTTGTTAATCGAGGATGTACAGTTGAGTTGACATGGTTGGGACGACAGAGTTGAACTCCACACATGGCAGCTGAAAGTTTTGAGTAGCATTGTATTAAAATTAAAGTACTTGAGCTGTGAACTTCAAAAGTTTTACTTTTAGTGCGATTTGACATTATTGGAGGGTTTTTCATGCCAAATTGCTCATTAAACACTCCTTTATGCAGTAGTTTCAGTATCTCAGTTTCAAATTCTTTGGCCATTAACACTCATTTTCCTTCCATTACTTGACAAAGCTCTCCTTTACCGGAATTGTAACCAAGCCTCCAAAGATAATTAATATAGTTCTAGGTACCCCATAAAATTGAAGAAGAATATTTTGGTTCACAAAATAAATGGTGTAGAGTTCATGCCAAATAAGTTTACAATTGTTTAAAGAGTGGTACAAGATCAGTTGGACTGCATTTTGCAATTTTGAACTATAAACTCTAGCCCGGTTTAAAAACAACGTATATGCTATTCGTTTCCTTATGCACATAAGTGTTTTTCCAGAAGAGCCAGAATTTATAGTTCCAAATTGCAAAATGCAGTCCAGTTGTCTTATGTTTAACGTTCAGATTAAAGACAAAAATGGAGAAGAAGGATCTTCTGTTGTACTCTAAAATTGCGTTAACATATTTGGTGTGGGCTCGAGTGATTTCCAAAAATGTTACACCGTCACTTGTCATCTGCCAATACGTATGTTTTCAGCCAGGCTACCCTTGAAGAAGAAATGTCTGATGAGATTTGTCACTGATGATCCCCTCTCCTTGTAACCTTCAATAAATTATTTTGTCTGGTAGTCATTGCAGCAAGCTTTAGTCATCGTTCATTTTATTTTTGACAGGTGAATTACCCTTTAAGTGCGATCTGTGTGAGAAAGGCTTTCGAACAAACCAAAAGCTCCAGAGGCATAAGGCATCACACTTGGGTAAGGTCCTAGTGTCTATTAAATTTTTTGTAATGATCCCTGAAGTAGAAACAAGAGATTTTGAGAAGAGTCCTGAAGTAGTTGTATTGTTACCTCCACTAGGATACATTTAGTCTTTACATGTAATAAGTAATGAGTTTTTTCTAGATTTTCAATCAGAGGTTGAGTTTCTTGTACATCAATCAACTGAATTCATGATCACCCATAAATAGGCAATATTTAATCTCTATCTGTTTGGAGCACTCATTGACGTCTTTAAGGCCAGACCCGGGGCCTGCACTCTGAAACTCCTACTTTAAATAGGAACTGAACATGGCCTAATGAGACTAGGTCAGTCCTTGCGCAGATCCTCCTGCCCGCGCGGCTGCACAGCCGCCCCTCGCCCAATGGAGTTTTGCCGTGACGTCAGCAGGAGCCCACTCTAAACGTGTTGTTAAACTCAAAAAGTGAAGTCAGCAAAATGACGCCAGTCCGCCATTTTGGAGTTATCCGCTTAGCACAACAAAAACAAATATTGCCTATGACGTAGTAATAGCAGGTCAGCCAGCTCAGCGGACCGCGGACCATGGCTGAGCGCTGACCAATTTTGCTGAGAAGATGGCGGCCTTTGTTTACAAACTGGCAGCTCAGCGGATAACCTCAGAAAACATTTAACAACACTTTCGCTGAGCTCAGCAACTCAGCGGATAACTCAGAAGTCGCAATTCTGACTTTAACAACGGGTCTTAGGATTCCCGGGATGAGGAGCATGTGAGTCCCTCCCCTCATCTCCCCTCATACGTTTTCAAACTTCCCGCTCGAGTGGGCTCCTGCTGACGTCATGCGCAGTAGAGGTCTTATTTTCGTTTTCGGAAGGACTGACCTAGTCTCATCAGGCCATGGGAACTGAATACTTGATAAGTCCTGCAGGCTGATTTTTGGAATTGATAGACAAAGCAGGGTTGCCTGCACAGTTAGGGAAAACGGGGAAATGTCAGGGAATTGAAACTGTCAGGGGAAATGACGAAAATGTCAGGTAAAATGACGATAATATCAGGGAAAATGACGAAAATGTCAGGGAAAATTTGTTAAATCACCTTTACTCTCTTTCTAGAATGGGTTTGAGGTTTCGAACAACAAATTTTGCCTGAAAGCTACTTTCAATTATGTCTTCTTAACCATCTGTGATATCCTCAATTGTCAGGGAATTTCACCAAAAGTCGTCAGGGAATTTCATTTTCCAAATTCTGTGGCAACCCTGACAAAGTGATAGACAAAAAGGACATAGGGAGTATGAAGCGATCCCATTGGTCGAGATGGGCGGTTCTTATAGACTAAGAGGATAAAAGATGAACTAACTGTAGGGTCTCTCATGGATTGCCAATAGTTAGTCTATTACCTACCTCTTTTGTCCATTGCAACCACCCGCTTCTACCAATAGGATCCCTCCATATCTCGTGTGTCTTCCTCGCCTAGCTTTGTCCATCATTTTCAACGATTAATTAGCCTGCTGCTGAGATTCCTCCATGCAAATTTTTTACTTTTCTTGAGTGGAATCTTGGAATCTAGGGGCGATAAACTATTGTAAGTTAAGTACAGTAAAATTTTAAATCCACCCTGGTGTACGATGACAGAATGACCAATACTCAGGCCCCCAGAGTGTGCCTTGTAGGTCAACTTGGGCTTCTACCACTATTACTCATTAATCTGTTGATTGTTTTCAAGTGGAGCTATTCAAGGAGCCAAGTGAAGGTTTCAACCATTTTCACATTAAAGCCTTCACTTGGTTTTGTGACTTTCACACTCTTTAGTTTCTTGTTGCTTTTATTTTAGGTAAGAAACTTGTTTCGTGCTACATTTGTGACAAGCAGCTATCAAACCAAGATGGATTGAGAGTTCATCTACGAACACACTCAGAAAGTAGACCTTTTAAGTGTGATTTATGTGATGCTACCTTTAAGGAGAGGAATGGACTGACCAAACACAAGGCAACTCACTCAGGTATTTCTCATTTTCCTTCTTTCAGGTAATCCTAAGCTAAGTCGTTTCTCAGTGGACTTGTTAAGTAGCGCAATTCATGAACACGGTCTCTCTTTAAATTATTATACTCACTCAAGCATAGTAAATACTATATGGGAAACAAAATAAGTTCAGGGGAAATCTATCTATTTTAAGATACAAGTACTGTGGGCCATGTCCACTCTTATCCTTTAAACTTAGCACCTGCCATTATCAATGTATTTCTATTAATTTTTTTTTTTTGGGGGGGGGAGGNTCAAGAAAGCATTTATTATCACACGCAAATTGGAATGCTGGAGAGACAGAACCAAGCGCGAAGACCTAGCAATGTACAATCTAACATGTAAATAGAAAAGAAGCGAAAAAGAAGGAGAATAGTAACAATAATTAAAATATGATAGATTAGCAATGTGAATTACAGCAATAAGTACAGTGATAAGGAATCTACAACTAGATGACTGATCATACGAGGAGGTTGGCTGATCATGTCTTTGCTTAGCAAGACTTGCTGGAATTGCCCGAGGGTACATTTTCGGCTGGGATGAGTGCATCTTCGGCTGGGGGAGTTATGATGATACGAGGGGCGTTCAATAAGTAAGTATCCGCCCTCTCTAAAATCCATTAGAATGGACCACTTTTAAAAAACTTGAGCTCAAAATCTTTCTTAGGATATTTTGAGTTCAACAAAACAAACCGCAACAAAATCGGACTATGTGCGGCCGAACGCGAGCCATTTGAACGCGCCAAGGTGCTCAACGCTCCCGCCGAATCCGCGGGGATTTGAAGTTTGCTACAGGAGAAGGGCTTCTCTGCCTAAGCCTCAGTCGTTCATCACTGACGAAAAATCAAAGAAATTTTTGTAGAATAAGGGGTTTACCTCACTTCTCCACATAACCATCTCGATCCAAGAAGGTCTGATACTGAGACCAAGAGAACAGCTTCTGGATGCCACGCGCGTGGAAGTCTTTCAGCTGACCGGGGATGAAAGAGTGGACGGGTTGTTTGACCTCTTCCACTGATTCAAAATTAACTCCTCCAAGTTCAGATTTCAGGAACGGGAATAAATGGTGGTCTGGTTTGCCATTTATTATCGTATCTGAAACCTGAACTCGGAGGAGTTAATGTTGAATCAGTGGAAGGGGTCAAACAACCCGTCCACTCTTTCATCCCGGTCAGCTGAAAGACTTCCACGCGCGTGGCATCCAGAAGCTGTTCTCTTGGTCTCAGTATCAGATCTGCTTGGATCGAGATGGTTATGTAGAGAAGTGAGGTAAACCCCTTATTCTACAAAAATTTCTTTGATTTTTCGTCAGTGATGAACGACTGAGGCTTAGGCAGAGAAGCCCTTCTTCTGTAGCAAACTTCAAATCCCCGCGGATTCGGCGGGAGTGTTGAGCACCTTGGCGCGTTCAAACGGCTCGCGTTCGGCCGCACATAGTCCGATTTTGTTGCGGTTTGTTTTGTTGAACTCAAAATATCCTAAGGAAGATTTTGAGCTCAAGTTTTTTAAAATTGGTCCATTCTAATGGATTTTAGAGAGGGGGGATACTTACTTATTGAACGCCCCTCGTAGAAGACTGAATTTACAGGAAAAAGGAAATATCGAAGGTGAAACTACCAAACCACGTATCCTGGTTTGCGACGTTGCAGACTTCCTGTCATACTTTATTTTTTAAATGAAAATCTACTTAACGTACAGTCTCGAAAATTTCTGTGATTTTTTCTCTTCGTGCGGAGAAAATTCTGTGAAAATTTCAAGGAATGATATTGATTTGATCTACTTCAAAAAAATAAAATGTGAGCGTAGATTTTTAAACACCGCAAACGAGATACGTGGTTTGGTAGTTTCACCGTCGATATAGTCTTAAAAAAGAATATTAGATCGAATCTGCAGGGAATCATAGTGAGAAAACAAAGCAAAATGTAGCATAATACTGAATGCAGCCCTTTTATCGATGCTCAATGATCATTAATAATGAACATAGACACGGCATGACACGCAGACAGTCAAGATTGATCCATTATTTATCTGTCTTATTTATGGAGAACCATATTAAAAGGGAGAAAAAAATATATTTAACTGATTTAGTGCCTTTTTGTAAACAGGAGGGACCAGACATGATTTAACACAGAGAGCACTGAAAGCATCGACACAGTTGTCACTTTCATTTTCCGCCATCTGAGCCCCCAGCATTTTTTTCATGTTAAAGTTGGCCCTCTCAACCGATCCCTAAGATTATTGTGTTGTGCCCCTGGCTCGCCATTTTCAAGCTGAGGAAGCTACAGGGTTATTCAAAAGTCACGCATCACTGGCCATGAGAGGGGTGATGATTTGAAATTTTTGAGTTGCCCCCCGCCCCCGCCCCCTGATAGGATCAAAAACTGGAAAGTACCTAAACAAGTTTCCCCCTCTATATAAGGAAAAACGTCCTAAACCGCAAATCGATATCATAATTAGAACTAAAGTTATGGCCAGTGGTGCGTGACTTTTGAATAACCCTGTATATCGCTTCTAAATTCCTGAGATCGTATTCAAGAATTTATGGATACTGTTCCACTGAAAATATAAAAGGGGACTCGGAAGTCGTAAAAAAATTTTCTCACCAATTTGCATGCTACTTCTTTGGCAGATCTATCCCTCACAGGCTGTGATACCATGCATTTTTTGGAGGTGGTCTTGACATCATTAGGCTGGAAACACATTGGCAGTGTCTTGTCAAGACTTACCATTGTTTTCATAGACCGACTGATTTCAATTTAAACTCGTTCGTTTGTTTGTTCATTAATGCACATTGGCTGCATTTCACACATTTACTTCAACATATCAATGATCCAAGTACGAAATCACGTATCTCTAGTGCAGTGTTTCAAAATTTCAGCTCCTATTTTACTTTTTCGAAAAGAAACAAGTCACTTTTAGGGCTTGAAATTGGTACAAAATACACAACTAACAGAGATGAATAATCAAGGAAATTTTCTAGAAATTATGTTGACTAGTTTTTCGACTAATAAATGAAGTCTATCTGAAAGTCCGCAACTTTGCAAACAGAGATACGTTATTTCACACAGTGGCCATCAATACAGGCCAATTTTTAAGAAATCTTCTGACCAAGAAGATTTCCATCTAAATTTGGATTTTATGTTTGGCCCACTCCAAAATGAAAAGTGATGAAAACAATATAGAGACTGCAAGTCACAAAATATCCATTTGTTGTCTTATTTTTGAAATTTGGTTTTTGGTACCATTTTAACTGAGGGAACTTATGAATGACTTCAGTCTGCAAATCCTAGATGGCAGCTAAAATGCATGTAGTATGGTTGAATACTGCGCCATTTCTGGTAAGAATTATAATCCTCCCGTTTCTGGGTTCCATCCATTTAAAACTTGTATATTTTTTTTTTAAAGATGTGAAAAATTGGGTCTGTGAAGTATGTGGCAAAAAATTTACCATCCGGTGGAACCTGCTACAGCACAAGCGCACAGCCCATGCATCCTCTTCCGTTTCTCGGCCATTCTCATGCGAAATTTGTCATCAAGATTTTCTGACTCGATTTCATTTGAAGCGTCATATGAAGCGGCGTCTTGCACATGCAGGTAGATTACATATAATCCACTTGTACCATGTACATGTTATCAAATTGTGAAGCAACATATTTACTGCAATTTATCGCAAAGTTTTTGTATCAGTATATGGAGAGTGATAATTTTCTCTTTTTTCCGAAATTTTCACTTGCTTATAAAGTTAACCTGGGAAGTTACGGCTATATTTTGAAAACCTTCTTGTGGTCTGCTGAAGCTTCATCGTGCAGTACAGTTGAACAGGGGTGTAGAAAGGTGCGTAGATACCACGCAACCTCCATGTGAAATAGGGAACCCCCGCAAGAATGGGGAAGACTGGAGAAGTCTTTATCAAAGCTGTCCAAAACAGGGGAACCATGTCGAACTTCGAACTTATTTTAAATGTAGCGATTTACCCGTGAAAAAGTCTAATTTTTGGGATAAAGATCAAACTTCCTCTTTTTTGTGTCTTCAGGGATACGCAGCTATGAATTTTGGTGGAAAATAGGAGGAGGTTAATTAAGTCGAAGGGCTTGGAGCTCGCTGCATCCCTGACTCTGAAATTATTTCGTGTGTTAAAATGTGTAAATTATTTTTCTGAATTTAAACCATCTTTGCATGCCCACATTATGGATTCCATTGCGTAGAAAGACATAGTTGAAACCTTACGGCCTAAAAAACTTGAAAACCGTTAGATGAATGGATACTAAGACGGTCTTACATGTAGGATTCAAACAAATGCAGTTAAAAAAAAAACAATATTTTTCAAACTTTTTACCTGCCTTGCTCTGGCATCAAAATTTTTAGATTGAAGTTTAAATGGACGTATTTCTGCCAATTGGAACTATGTGCATCATGGCGTGGCCCCTGTTATGCATAAATTCTTATGGGTCTCAGGGCTCATGTCTTAATGCACTTAGTCCTGTTTGGCAGAAATACGTCCAAATGTAGGTTCTACATTAATGTAAAAATAAAATTAACTGCTTTTAATTTATGCTTTGGAATAATTGAGAGCGTTTTTTTTGGGTGTTTTTTTGGGGTTTTTTTTGTTTTGTTTTTTTTTGGGGNGGGTAGTTCCATTTCTGATTTTTCAACCTGTCTCAATAAAAATTGAGGCACTGAATGCGAAAAGGGCACTGCTCGATTGCGGTGTTTCAGAATCTCAGTTGCTAATTAATCCCTTGGAGAAGAAATTAATGGGTGATTTTTCTCGCATTTTTTCCATAGGAAATTGTAGAATCATAAGGAATATTCAGTAAAATTCTTAGTGAAATGGATGCATTCACTTTCCTTACAATGAATGAAATATTAGAGGAGACTCTGAAACACTGCAACCGAAAAGTGCCCTTTTCGCATCAAATGCCTCAATTTCTCTCCTTGAAAATTTGCGCACTCAGGTCATTTTTCCCCCGACTAGTCACGTATTAGCCTTAAATGACAAACTACTCAAATCTTTTAGTAATGAATCTCAATTTAAAACATCTCTTGATTTTTGTTTGCTTTTTCAGAGTATTTGGAAGAATACTCTTGCAAAATATGTGATAAAGTGTTCACGCGGAAAGATAATCTGAGTCGTCATGTAAAGAACTCACACTTTGAGGATGAGGATCCTAGATCAGAAACCGTTAACAACTGCATCAGGGAGTCCAAACAAAAGGTCGTCCGCAAAATCAAGAAAATCAGTGCTGTAATGCTAGAAAATACAAATAGATCATCTGTGATAAAATCTGTGGCATCTGTCGTGGGAATGGCTGAAACGAGTCTTAATAATTGTGAGAAAGTAGATCCTTGTCCTCCCTCTGCTAGTCAAGAAAAAACCGCCTATGATACCAAAGAAATTCTAAAACCAGGAAATTCGCAAGTCAAAGATGGATCTACCTGCAGAGAAAGTTTCCGCACTGTATCAGTTATTAGTCGCATCAGTCGTTCTTCTGATGATGCAGAAGTTTACAGGATTTCACCTTATTCAAATGAGAGACTGGAGTCTGATGAAAATTTTTCCGGTGGCCTGGTTAGAAAATCATCGCAAGGAGACTGTCCGAAATCCCAGGGATCTGATGTTTGTGAAGGAGATGAAGCTTGTCTTCATGAAGAACCGAAAACAGCGCACAAATTAGAGTCTTTTCGAATACTCGATCAGCCCAGTTCAGCACTTAATCTCTCAGCAAAGAAAGCAACCTATTGTTTCAAAAAGTGTATGTACGATGCAAGGAAAAGTGTCGAGAATTTTTTAGAAGTCTGTAAGAAAAGAGAAAGAGAACAGTCAACTAGAGTTCTCCGAACTCCACCTGACTCTGAGAAATCAAGATTTTCTGGGAGCCATCTTGAGTGCGTAGACTTGAATAATCATGCTGTGAAGGAAAGAGAATGTAATGACTTCGTAGATCCAAGAGTCATCGCGACAGCAGAGGCGCTCCAATCTTATGGAACAGTCGTTGAGTTGGTGGATGATGATATGAGAATAAAGCCTTACTACTCCACCTCTTCTTCGAGTTATATTGAACAGGATACTTCATTAAATTATAGTAAGATTGAAGAATTACAATATGCATACTATACTCCTTGCCCTCAAGCTCCAAGTCCTGGAAAAAAGTACGCTGTAAGTAATTTTTGCGGCAGCTTTTCGAATGGGAGTACTGTGTTGGTCAAAGAACAAGAGTCAAATGTCATTACAACCCAAACAAATCCTGTCCCAGTTATTAGTAGTAAAGAGCTAGATGTCTCCTATTCAAATGAAATTAATTCTTGCACTTGTAGAGATTGTTCAAGGCCAGAGAGCCCGACGTTAGCTGATGATCCATACATTCCATCTACCTCCGATTCGCTTGACCTGTCAGTTAGGAGGCATATGCTATCCTGACTGTAACGTTTAAGAGTCTTTTACCAAGAAACTTAGTTGTCTGAGTCCAGCATGTCTAGATAAAGGAGCATACTACAGAATGAAAATGAAACACAGTAACAGAAAATATCAAAAGTCTGTGTTTTATTAAAAAACTTTTATTCTTATCAGTAACAAAAATTAAGTGTTCTTAAAAAAATGTATTGTTAATAGACAGTAGCTCTACTAATAAATGAAGAGAGAATCGCAATTTTTTAATGTGTTTGACAGTTTATTTCATTTTAAAAGTATCAAAACTGCGTCCCTTACTATTTGATGTTTCAAATAATTAGCTCATCTGTACATTAGTTCAATTGTTGATTTTTAAATTTTTAAAATATACGTTGTTATAAAAATATATTCAGTCTTATGAATTATGTCAAAAGTTGATTGGACATCAGTCGAAGAATGGTTGTGTAAGAGAAAGCAACAACATAACCAGCCGCACTTTCCGCCCTCACTGCATAAGCTTTCTCTAAATATTTCGGCGGAGTATGCAAGCGCTGTTCACCTAACAACTTAATTGCACCTAGACAAAGATGCTCCCCTGAAGTGACCTCAGGACTCCAGAAACCTGTGATTTCCCCGTCAAATCCACCTTTGATGGAACTCAAGTCAGGTTTACCACTAATAAAACTCACATCTTGGGTTCGTAGATTCTCAAGTTTATTACATGTCAAGAGAGACGTGCAACCTTCAGATTCATAGTCGATCTCGCAGCTGGAAATTAGTTTTGGGTACTTTCGTTCAACATTTGTGAATAGCTCTGTCACATCCTGTACATCCTTCTTAACCATTTGTTGCTGATAGTAATCTTTGGGGATGAAGTCATCCGGGTTCAATAGGAGTGGAAAATCATGGTGGGGTCGTTCAAATGGTGTTCCGTTTGGTCGTCTCTCCAGAATTGGCTTAGGACCCCACAGAGCGCATGGAAGAGGACAGTGATCATAGAACATTTGCCGAACATGTTTATCGGTTAGGGGGTCTGATAAGTACTCTACCACCTTGCGTAAATTGGAAAATGTAACGGTTGTCGGCTCCGGAATGAATCTCTTCTTTTCGTCAGTTACGTGAGGTGCAATGATCGGATAGTATGTTTTCTCATTCAATTCAAAATTTCCAACACTCATTATGAGGTTAGCAATGGGCGAGAGGTTGAACGGTAAATTTTTAGCCGTGATCTGGTAATCAAGATCAAGAGTTTTTGATGGCAACAAATCGTAGCTGTTTATCATTTCCGTCTGCTGCCCCATCACCTTGCACAGTCTGTACTCTAGTTGCATCAATGACAAGCGATACAACTGATATGGTGATGCCTCGATTTGAATGGACTGTAATAATCTGCCGAACTTTCCATATAAATATTGAACATAAAACCCGACACCTCTTGTTGAAATAGGCAGAAATGTTACCCTTTTGAATCCTGTCCGCATCATTTCTGTCGGAATTGCAATATTGTGAAGACCTGCCAATAGCTTTTCCCTCATTCTATCACTTTTAGATGCAACCACCTCAAGAGGAGGCTGGTTTTTGTCATTTTTGGTTTTCTCTTTCATTGCTTTACGCAGCTCTCTGTGACTTGTGAATCTTTCGCTGCCAACAGCAGACAAAATATATCTATTATTCAATAGCTTTAAATTAGTTCCAATTTTTGGGGCCAATTCCTCCTCGTCTTCCTCCTTGATGGCTTTCCCTATCTTGTCTTCTTTCAAAACAATCTTGCGCACAGAAGCCTGTATTTTTGCAATTTTATCCTCTACCCCATCTTTCTGCAACGCTTTTTCAATTTTCTCCACATCTTTGCGCAATTCGTATTCTTTTAGCACTTCAGCTTTAACTCGAGGTAGCACCGTTTTAATTGGTGGCAATAGGTATTTGTTCGATGGCAGTTTAAAGTAGGTCACAACCTGAGAAACTTTCTGGAGCTTGTCATCCCGTGCAATGTCAATATCATCAGCCCTGCCATGTCTCTCAGCGCTGGAGTTGTCGCGTAATTTTTTTCTGATATCCAACCGGCTGGTAAATTTCTCACCAGCCACCGGGGACAAAATGTATCTGTTTGAAAGGAGATTCAAATTTGTTTTCAGAGCTGGTGCAGATGATTCTGTGTGTAACACCATTCTGTCAAATCACCAACCTGGAACAAAAATCAGTTGTATGAAATTAGGCCATGTCGCAAACGGAGACAAATATTTTTTTTTCCATCACGATGTAAATGGAAATTTTGTGGAAAACTTTTTTTATTTTCTCTGTGAAACTTGGAGGGAGCTCATTTCAACGCTGCAACCTGTACAAAATACATCTGTGAAATACTTTGAGTTCTTGATGCATACTATAGGTAATTATCAAAATTCCAATTTCTGTTTCTATCTTTTTACGATTCACTAATTAACGCATGAAGGTCAGGAACTGAGTCTCGGAAACTACAAATCGGATTTCAAAAATAACCTTACTTTGTCAAAGCTACGGTGTAATATGTTTTTTTTTTTATTTATTTATTTCTTGGCTGTGGAAAATGAAGTTGGCAAAACCACCAGAAATTATAAAACTTTCGAGGAAAGCTACCAGCAACAGTTTAGTCAAATATCCATAAAAAATTAAATGAAAACTTTATAAAGTATAGCTTAACCCAGTTTACTAAAGTTTTAAACTAAATAAAATATAGTTTGGTGACTTGCATTAAATATAAATAGTCACACAATTAAATGGACCGCGTTAAACAGAAAGGAGCCAAGCCACATCAGCTATTGCCAAATTTAACAGGGGAATTTGATTTTTTTAGAGTGAACGTTTGTGCGTATTCTTTTGAAAATTTTAAGGAATTTGCTTTGTACAATGGAGAAAATTTATAGAAATTTGCACAAAAATCCGCACAACCGTGTTTATTGTAAAAAATTAAATTTGGCAATAGCTGATGTGGCTTGGTTTCTTTCTGTTTAACGCAGTCCAAATATCTCTAGAATAAAGAGTTAATAAAACAGAAAATATGTCCAAGAAAACAATGATCAGACTGAATTTTTTTTTTCCAAATGTTCGTGTGAACATATTTCTCCTCACAAGTTTTTATTAGATATCGGTGGCTAGTGTGTGGAACCACCTATCTACGTTCGCGACGTTGCAAACTTTCTGTCATACTTCCTTTTTGAATGAAAAATCACTCAACGCAAATTCTTAGAAACTTCCATAATTTTGCCTGTACAGAAAATTCTGTATTGATTTCAAGCTATAAAGTTGTTCTCTGTTTGAAATAATACAATTTCGGAAATTTTGAAGCACTGCAATGGAGATATGCTGTTTCGCACTTTGGCCATCGACATGAACATGTCTTGGAACAGTTCGGAAAAGTGTCTGAAAAGAGGTTAAAATAAGGTATCGGAATTCTCGAAAAGCTGTTTTCGAGAAAAGTCAGTATCCAACAACCTATCCAACTTTTTTTACTTTTCAAACTATGTAATAATGTGTCTCATCCGAAGTCTCATCGCAATAATCCTCGTTTTTCCACACAACATACAATTTCACGTGTTTTAGCGCCTGATAGAACGCTCGTATGCAACTAATTCTGCTCAATGGATACGCGTATTGCATGCACTGAAAATGAAGGCGGTCTAACAGTAGTTGCATTCGTAACTCCGTGCGTTACGTTCTCTGAAAGTGGCGGTAGCCGTAGGTAAAAATACATCAAGATATCGAGTATAATTTCGCCGAAATTCTAGTTTCCTTTTAGATTTTTTGCGACGAAAAAAAAAACTTCCTTTGTTAATTCGTTTTTTGGTCCACCTAAGCACATTTCAGCTGAAAATCAGCGAAAACTTTCCTCTCAATTGGAACCCCACAATAAAGCTGAAAGTATCTGAATATAGTCGACTGGACAAATCGAACGCGATCTTTCACGCTCGGACACTTTCAGCTTCGCGGATAATCCGGATTTAATTAAAACTCGATTAACCGCTATGGTTAAGAGCGAGTGTAATTCGGATAGTTACAAATCGCGGATGATCCGGACTTAAAAAAATGAGTATCCGCAGTCGTTGAGACTAGTGACAACGCGGATGGTCCGACCTCGCTGATAGCTCAAATTTGCAAATTCGACCATCCGGGGTGGTAGAGACCGAGGGTGCTTCGGATAGTCAAAATTCGCGGATAATTCGGACTTACAAAAATAATTATCCGCTGTCGTTGAGACCGGAGACAATTTATAAAGTCAGAAATCGCGAATAATCCGAATTTCCGAATTCGACCATCCGCGATGGTCGAGACTAGGATGACCTCGTTATAATCTGAAATTGCGGAAATACCGGACTGAGAAATTCGATTATCCGCGGTGATCGAGACTAGGATGACCTCGTATAATCTCAAAATGCGAAAAATCCGGACTGACAAATTCGATTATCCGCGGTGGTCGAGACTAGGGGTGCTGAAAATCCGCACTGAGAAATTCGATTATACGCGGTGGTCGAGACGAGGATGACCTCCTATAATCATAAATGCAAAAAATCCGGACCGACAAATTCGATTCTCCGCGATGGTCGAGACGAGAATGACCTCGTTGAATCTTAAAATGCGAAAAATCCGGACTGACAAATTCGATTATCCGCGGTGATCGAGACTAATGGTGCTGAAAATCCGCACTGACAAATTCGAGTATCCGCGGTGGTCGAGACTAAGGGTGCTTCGGATCGTCAAAATTCGCGGATAATCCGGACTTACAAAAATAATTATCCGCGGTGGTCGAGACTAGGATGACCTCGTTTAATCGTAAAATGAGACAAATCTGGACTGACGAATTCGATTATCCGCGGTGATCAAGACTAGGATGACCTCGTTATAATCTTAAATTGCGGAAAATCCGGACTGACAAATTCGATTATCCGCGGTGGTCGAGACTAAGGGTGCTGAAAATCCGGACTGACAAATTCGATTATCCGCGGTGGTCGAGACTAAGGGTGCTTCGGATCGTCAAAATTCGCGGATAATCCGGACTTACAAAAATAATTATCCTTGGTGGTCGAGACTAGGATGGCCTCTTTATAATGTTAAATTGCGGAAAATTCGAACTGACAAATTCGATTATCCGCGGTGGTCGAGACTAATGGTGCTGAAAATCCGCACTGACAAATTCGAGTATCCGCGGTGGTCGAGACTAAGGGTGCTTCGGATCGTCAAAATTCGCGGATAATCCGGACTTACAAAAATAATTATCTTTGGTGGTCGAGGCTAGGATGACCTCGTATAATCTTAAATTGCGGAAAATCCGAACTGACAAATTCGATTATCCGCGGTAGTTGAGACCGAGGGTAACTGAGATTTTCGATAATCGCGGATACTCCAAAATGGGTCACATGATCGTGTCTTTTTTATTTTATATTCCGAAAGTACCACTACATCACGTGGTGATTTTTTGCGTATTTTTGGAGTCAAAATCCCGGACAAGCCCGCTTTCAAGGGACCATAAACTTGAAAGACATTTCAATCGCGCCGAAATGTTAGGAAAATAATGGCAGTGAAGTAGGTACTGCTGGAGTCATATCGCTATCTTTTCTCATTTTCCACCGATGTTTGTTAAAATAAAACGTATTTCAAAGTGAAATTGTTGCTTTGTTAACTACATATAATATCCCAGTTAGCATTTTATTTTCGGAGAATATCCCTGAAAATTCCTGTGCCTTCGCATCATTTAAAAATATTTTGACAATATTCTCACAAACACCAAACTAAATAAATTTTGTGTGGATATTGTCAAAAAGTTAAGTTTATAGTATTCTCAGAACACAATCAGAGTATTCCGTCTACCGTTGCACGGATTACATACTCTCCTATTTGAAGGCGCCTTTTTGACTCTTAAGTCATAGTTCCGACTTGCCTATTATTTTCACATGCGGGGAACAGAAAGTCATTTGACGGAAGTCGTAGAAACCCGTGCTCGCTTCTGATTGGTGCGGAATGACATCATTCGGTTCGGCGCGAGACCGGGGCGTTTCAAATATGCGGAAAAGTTGCACTTTTTGAACAGTGTATTTCCCGGTGCCTTACGCCTTGTCTCCACGGGACGTATCATGGGATTTGTCTCAGGGAAAAATCCCACTTGCGAAGTTGGAAAAAATATTGAGCTAATGAATACCTGCTTACCAGAGCACCAATCAGAGTCATTGTGGGGTTCTAAGAGCGACTCGGAGAAGAGGAGAAAAAATTCTGTTTTTTTGTTCAACGGGGAAGAAGCCTAGAAGTTCGCGAAAATATCTACGTCTACTCTTCGCTATCACGACAGCATTTCAGACGCAGTTTGAAGAATCGTTCATTGAATCCCATCCGGTGCGATACCTATCCGCCCCGTGCAAGAATTCTCTATCGGAATGTTGAGCCCGGCCGGGACCCTTCGGAATCCGGCCGTTGAAATTTCAATCACATCCGACAGCGCCAACCTAAGCTTTGCAATCGAATGTTTGGCACGTTGACACTTTCGCTCCGTGCGCCTCGTTTGACTTTCGAACCTCAAGTTCAAGTTCGATGTCGGAGTGTTACGTTCGTTCATTTTTTCGATCGGCATCTCGGGTGTAAGACTCTCGGTGCCGATGATGTCATCGTCCAAAGCCAAGTCAGTCTGCCGGCCGGCAGAAAACTCACGACAATTGATGCGAGTAAAGCCCAGTTCACACTATCAAACTTTTCATCCGACATAATTGACGGAAAGTTGGATGGAAAGTTGGACGCAAAAAAATCCGATTCAATTACCGTTGCAGTATGACAGCACCAACCTGCGGTTCGCGAAGATACAGCATCGGCTTATGACGGTCGGAAGATTTCGTTCCAACTTTTCGTTCAAGTTTCCGTTCAATTTTTCATCAAATTGTCGGTTTCTCTCGTCCGTACCACACTATCGAATTTTTCATTCGACGCGTTGCATCCAAGGGTTTGATGAAAAGTTTGATAAAGTACATTGGGCTTAACTTTCAAGGAGCTAGGAACGCAGATTTATATCCCAAAATTTACCCCCAAAAAATATGAGTCGAAGTTTCGTGACTTTTAACTTTATACCCAACGGTTGGAAATTGAGTATAATTCAAAAATGAAAATTTTTTTGTTTTAAAATTTTCTCACATCCTTGTGCCGCAGTTACTGGATGCAGCTTTTCTTACAATTTTTCAAAATACGCACCTCTCAGATAGCGACGCTATAAGTCTCCGTTCACGCTTTATTTCCTTAAAGTAAAACTAACCAACAGTTTCTATGGAAATTTATTAATTTTTTCTCTCATTCAAAAAAAAAAAAAAAAAAAAAAAAAAAAAAAAAAAAAAAAAAAAAAAAAAAAAAAAAAAAAAAAAAAAA